GGTTTCTTCGAGGGGAAAAGAGGCGGGTGAAGGGAACACGGGATCGTCAAGATGGCTCGGACAAACAGACAAACGGGTACAGCCGAGGGAAGAGAAGAACGGGGGTTGGATCCAGCATGGTAAATCTTTGGATACGACTCTCGTCTCTCTCGCAAGCTACTTTGCATTCGTTTCTTATTCCACCGCTCTTTTTTCACAACTCTCGCATACTTTCGACTCGCGAGCACTCGAATCACGATTCGAACCTTCACTTCAGCCCGACCCTAGCTTTTCGCCGTCTCGAGAAGTTATTTCGCGACTCGTTAAGCCCCACGACACGCGGCCAAATAATACCTCTTCACTTAACGTCACTTTCCCCACTGAGCTGGCGAAAGCACGGGCAAAATCTCTTTTCCATTCGCCATGTAATCCGTTAATTCTACTATTGTTTGTTTCAGTGAAATTTTTTGAAGATATCCATCGTTGTATTAATGTACAAAAATTACAGTATTTCAGGATTTTCTAACGAAGGATCAGGACCGTGTTATCCTTATTCCTATATCCCTTCTCATTAATAACCATACGGTAGGGGTAGCAATGAAGGGTTCATGACTTCTAAAAAAATCTTGATAAACATAGGTCGAAAAATTAATATTTTCGAAGTTATACATAATTCTTGACGAGTACTATCTACCCTAGAAGTTACGAACCTTTTCTCTGTATTACCCTGTATAGCAAGGAAATATTGTAAAATTTTTTATTTCAGACTAAAGCGATTTCCAGTGTATGTGAAGCCAATTATTATTTTTTCATCTGACTAATTACTAAACTGCTGCATATAACCCAGCTGTCAATACACGAATGTGAACACCACAGTGTCACGAACGGTTTTATTCGTAAATTTAAATGAATCAACGGGAATAGTTTCTAGTAGAATGCGCGTTGCAAAAAAAAAAAAAAAGTACGAGCGAACCGGAACAAATTAAACGAGATACGCGGGTGTACGCGTTTTCCACGGGTGGAACGGTATCTAAAATTTTTCACCGGAAATGGTACGCGAACAAAATACCCTGCCGGTCCGCCGCTCATTTAAAACGCATTAAATTTGTATCATCCGTTTCGACCGGCATTATTTCACCCGGGAATAAAAATAGCCGAAATTCCCGGTAATCAGGTGGAACGCAACGATAACATTGACGGGGGAAATAGCCGCGTGGTATCGATCGTTTTATATACAATAGCAATCTTTTCACGAATTTTTATCCAGAAAATGGCACACTTCTTCCGTCGCAAATTCCAAAACCTTAAACACACATTTTATTGTTCCCCTCGCGAACGTTAAAAACATCATGCACAATTCATGAGGAGAACGTGACGTTATTCTCGACGAAGACAGAGAAAAAAAAAAATATTTCGATGCCCCGAGCGAGGGGTGGTGTCTCGCGTCGACGTTGTTTCCTGAATTCGGAATACGTCCTCGCACACGCTCGTGTGTCAATGTGTTAGAATATTCACAGCACGGGAACGACCGACTAAACGCGTGTTTATTTTGGTTATCGTCGAAAAGTGCGAATAACACTACGGGTATAGGCGTGAAGAACGGTCAGATGATATACAGTGACCTACACAGACATTTCTTCACGAAAGCCTGTCCCTTCTATTTAACCAAATCAAATGATAAAAATGATGATAAAAAGAATATGTAAATAGAAATTGCATACAAATCTCGACACCTAATCATTATTTCAGAAGTGTGTGAATAAATGTGTAAGTCACTGTAAATAGAACGGTTACGTTTCGGGAATTTGGTAATATTTTATAGGTTAGCGGATATTTACAGAATTCAATTTCTACGTATTATTAAGAACAAGGTACACACTCTGTAGAGACTGTATTCGTTACCACAAAGACAAATATATTCATTCACAATGCGGAACCGACTCTATTCCGTATTATAATAACGGCGACCTGCACGGAAGGCGTACACGCCTTCATTCTATGCAAACAAGCCACAGGAATAACAAAGAAATTTAATTAAACGGAGGAAAGAACAACACAAAGTTCACTGATGGATCCGTCTGAACCAAATTTTATAGGGTGGGCTGCCGCCCTGGGGCATTGAGTAGTGTGCGTGGGATAAATTGTCGCGGTGGATTTAGCGGTTGAAAAACAAGGGAATTTAATTAGACGGGTGAAAAAAATATTCCGGAGTTTATTCTTCGTTTAATTAATGAAACAGAATTTTATAGAAAGAAACACGTCTATTCGGGCTTTGTTCAAAGCACAATACAACGTTCTGTGATAACTGGAATCAACTTTAACGAGGTAGCTTTTGTAGTCGAAACACCGAACAGTTAATTAAATTCGGAAGAATGTTTACATACTCGATTATCGAATCTATGAAAAGAGAAAAAAATCATGTTGTCAAAATATAGCGTGTTTCCCAAATTGTGAAAGATATTTAATTTGTTTTTAAACAAGGAAGAATATTACGATTTATTATATTCTTAACATTAAGACTACCACCGTTAAATGTATAATAAACTAAATTCTATAATATAATATAAAATGTATAATAAATCATAAGTCATCATAAATTCAAACAAAAGTACCATCATGATTTCATAATTATAAAATAAGAAATTTGAAATACGTCATTTTGATGAGTTTGGATATTCCAGTATTAATTATAAGTCTTCCTCTCGATCTTAATTATATTCTTACATTTCACTCTAACCGCACAGCGAGATCCATTTCCATTCCCGACGACCCCTGGATCGAACTGACCGAGGGTCTTAATACTGATTGATCGGCGCTTCTTGTTCACCACGTCACGGTTCCACTGGCGAGCGCAAACTTCGAAAAGTTCCAGGTACATACATCCTACGGGTACGACAACACGGGGAGTAGATAGTTCAGCGTGATATAACTCAGGAACAATTTCCACGAGGCGACAACCGGAGTAGTAGAACTCTCCGGTTTTCCGATTCGACCCTCGTACGAACCGTTCATTAGACCCTTCGCGACGCGCTGGGATCCGAAAGTTCCCATGGAAGAAGGTGGAAAACTCTTTTTACCATGCTTGTTACGAGGCCCACCCGTAAAAACAGACTACGTAATCCGTGGATCGCTTACGTTGTTAGGATAATCGCTTTGTCCTTGGATTCAATAAAGAAAAAGGGAAACACCAATGGGGTTCCTCGTACCAAACCTTGTATGTATTTGTATTGACTTGGCGATTTACCGAAATTTACCCTAAGATTTTGAAATACTGAAACTCAACGCTTTAGAATCTAAAGTTTACATGCTGATTTCTACACAAAGATTCTCGATTTCCGTGTTGTATACATTACATTACGCCCATAAAGTGGCGACTATGCCAACAGAAAGGTCGCGTGAACAAAAATAAATACACTGTTAAATGGTTTCAGGTTAACGCCGCCACGCCAACCGCTCGATTCACGACAAATACGTTTATACGAAACCATTATTGGCAAGGCGATGAGGGAAGGGTAGAGTACGGGTGAGGGGAGAGGGAACATTTACATGAACAAACATTACTTCCAAGCGAATGAACATCGCCGGTTGAAACGACGACGTTACTATTACACGTACATAATACTGCACGTCCAGATATAAACGAGCTATGCGGACTGGAACTAATAGAACCGCAAATTTGTACAAGTTGGAAACGGCATCACAGACGAATTTGTGTTTAGTAGACGGAGACATAATTAATAATGACCCCGCGAGCGTTCGACGCGGTCTCGCTAAGTTTCCACGTGGCAGTTTTTGAGTGGATAATAAACTATGTGGAATTGGATGTCGCATGGGGAACCAAAAAAACAGTATTAATGTAGAAAATACTTCATGCTTTTATAAACGATAAATGAAGGTTCTAAATCAAGGTTACAAAGCAAGGGGTTAAAAATAAACCAGAAACATAATGAAAAATTACAAACCGTGTAAAATATGGTAATCTATGCAAATTGTCATAGTATAGTAATGCAAATTATTGCTGTTTTGGAATGTACGTAAATAAATGTGTCGATCATTGTATATTCACTTCACGAGCATTGAATGAAAAGTAATTAGTCAACTGTTCCCCTGGTCGGTACAGGAGACCCGAATTTCTCAGTTACATTTCACCGAGCCAGGTACTAGACCGTTCATTAAATCTCCGCTACACGTGGTCTAAAGTTGCACGAATTACAATGACTTTTATGGCTTGCTGCCGGCCCGAAATTTCGTGCATCAATTTCGAACACGTTTCCGCGAGTGTTTCGCCAAGAATGCCCGAATACACAGTCCGAGGGAGTTGTAAAAGAGAAATTCAGGTATCGGAAACTACGGGAACACGGACGGCGCAATACACGGAAATTGTTTCTCACTTTAGATCAAGATAAAAATTACGAATGGCGACGGGGAACATTTTCTACACCTGAACGAAACATTTAAAACTACAATTAAACGTTAAATTATTCGTACTATTTTTAAAAATAATATAATTAATAAAACTACTGTTGTAGACAGATAAGATTCTACACGTCATTTCTATGCAGACGACACTCCAACGAAATAAAACGACAGTACGACACTCTAAGGCAAAGCAAACGGGAAATCCATGGTACGCTATTCATTCACTCCTAACGTGTCGCTGCGGATAAGCCGCGGCGCGTCCTTGGTTACATCTCGAGAATCGGGTATCGATTGCTTCTCTTGCACGGCGTGGGACAAAAACCGACAAGGGAAAGAAAAGAAAACAGTGTCCCTGGTCTAACCCACATTCGACCTCTAAGACAAACACATTTAACCGAGATTCATCCTTCCCACGCCTGTTCTCGAGGCCTAGAAATTTAACTGCAGAGTCAGATCCGATCACAGAAACTGAGCCAAATATTCCATCGGGATGCGTCAACAGACAATTCACAAAAATCTTACTTGTATCGGAGTTACGAGTATGCACGAGTCATTATTCGATGACATCACATGAATCACGGTCAAAATGGTTCAAGACTCACCCCAATTCGATGGTCGAATCGTGTGCCAAGGGGGTGACCAGGCGTACCGTTGGACGATGACTGAGGATGACACCAGAGTACACTAAGGATCAGCTGTCCGACCAATGACCGACGTGTGTGGTTGATGATCAGTCACTGGAAAACGAGAACTCACCACCGAACACGATAACCCTCACCGAACGAAGGTGCGCGGACGACTGACTGCCGTGGTAGTCACGGTGGGGTGTAGCCGTGCGCTGATTCTCCACTACCTCCCACTCCATGGCCACTCTTTATCCTTCCTCCACGCGCCACTTCACGGACGAGCTTTCTCGTTTCATCCTTCCGCGTCTTGTTTCCATCCCCTCCTCCCTCCAGGCAACCCGCCCCTCCCGGTGCCCTTTGTCTGTTGGTGTTCCTCTATTTTCCTTCACCCTGCCGCCTACTGTTTTGCACCCCACTCCCGCCCCTCCCAACCCCCAGGCTTTTCTATCACGTTTCGGTTTTCCATGCAATTTACCATGGTCTTTTTATTTTTGAACGATTGATTACACATCCCGCTGTGTTTTCGTGGAATTTTTTATCTCCTTCATGTTTTCAGCTATGAAGACATACTCAACCGGCCAATAGTATTGAAGCAGGTTTGATAATTACATAAAGAGAAAAATATTACTCTATAAAGATTTCACGTTGGTCGTATTATATACCTAGCCTGAATAAATGGGCCTACGAAGTTTTATTTAAATTACAGATTTCTCACAAACTTATTACGTTATTTGGTAAAAAAAAAATGTCTGAAGTGTACCCCACTCAGCCGCAACTTATAAAAAAATCACATCAAGATACTCCTACCTAGGCCGCTGTTCGCGTTCTTTTTTCATCCGTGCCTTAACCCTTTCTAGCTTTCTTCCATTTCATTCGTGTGGCGGCAACCCTTTCTTGCCGCGTTGTTCTGCTTCAAACCAGTTGCCCAGCCTCCTCCAACTTCATAGAATCTCCTCTCTGTCCCCCTTTAAGCTCACTACCGTCTTTGTTTCCTCGACACATTTCCCGTCCCTGTTCCACACCTCTATCCTCGATACAATTCTCTTCGATCTAATCTTTTTCTGGCGGAGCACGAAGAACATGTCCCTCCTCGTCTTTCCCTCTCACTGTACTGGCGAGACAGTAACGTCGACGAAGTTTGGTTGTGGGTAGAGAACAGAGACGGAAAATCTAGTGGAAGAAAACGTCAGAAAACATGGGTGTGTGAAGGAGAAAAGAAGAACCACGAGAGAGAGAGAGAGAGATGGGAAAGGACGGAGCGCAAATAAGCTGGCGGTGGAAGAAAGACCGAGATAGTGGCGCTCAAGGGTGGAAGAACACCAGCGATTTATTGGATCCCCGAGACCAGCGATCACCTATATGCCGGGAGAAAAGTTCGGTAGAATCCGAGACGAGATACTTCAGTCGTTCGCTGTCTTGGGTAAAAAGTGAACACGGGGAGTGTGGGGGTAAAAGGAAGTCCGGAAGTGCGAGCCCTACCGCGAACACAAAAAAGGACAATGAAACGTCAACCTATCTGGTTCGTAAAAGCGTTTCTTTGCGAGGTAGTAATAGTGAGTAACAGGCAAACACATTAACGAAACGTGTTTGAATTTTCTAACCCAATTTTCTCAAAAAGCGAAATTTCGAGCGAAAGATATATTAATCGTTCAACTTCAATTCGGTTCTACACGATCTATCACGCCTTGATAATTTACATCATTACCCCCACGTTCTGCACGGCTTCATACCAGATTATTTATGTATAGGACAATGTTCTGCTAATTTTCATATAATAGGACTGAGTGTAATTAATTTGCATTTGAAAGTAATTAATTTTGACGTATAACCAAACCGACCGAGGGATAAGCCAGTGTATTTCGCAGAATATAGGTCAAACGAGCGTGTTTCAATGCACAATGCAAGCGACGGCTGCCGCGTGATCATTGCTGAAAAGCCAAGGTCTCCGTGGATTTCAAGTCTGTAGATTGGTTTTCTTCTAAATAACCAAGATCAACAATGCTAAAAAAACGGTGACAGGAAGGTGTTTCGTGATAAATAAATCATCGGATCGAACACCTGGCCGACTGAAATCGACAGTTTACGACGGCAGGAAGACACGATCCGTTGCACGTTTGCCCGCCAGCCGATCACCCGCCCACGACTCCCGGCAGCTTTCAATTTGCCAGGAAATAATTTACACTTTCTACCGCAACCGGGTATACCGCTGGGGAAATTTATTGTGAATATGCATGCGCCCTGCATGAATATGAATACGACGGAATTATTATGCGACAGAAGAAAGTTCGCGAAGGGCGACGGTGCTGGGCTAGAGCGTTCCCCCTCGATAAGAGTTTCTGAACTCCCTCGGCGGCTTGCTACTCTTTCGGGGGGGCAGAGTGTTCGGGAGATATTGCAAAATCTCTGCTGTACTTTCGAAGTATCAACTTTTACAAAGGACCGGTATATTCCGAACCAGTTGAAAGGCACGGAGGGATAGATCATTGGTCTCTTGAGGTACTTCTTGTTCTTCCGAGATATCGCGGAATACTCAAAAACTTTTAGTCGGTACTGAAAGACCAGCATTCTGGGAGAATCCTCCTGGACTCGAGGGACACGTTCAGTAGTCGTTCAAGGACTACTTAGGGCCCTAAAACCTCCATTTAACCCTCGAAGTAGTAACTCTTCCACCCACATATCTTCAAAGAATCATCGAGGCGCTGTAGTGATCGTCCAAGATCTTGAATACCCTTTGGATGGTTATTCGTCGTCTGTTTAGTAAATGGTAATCAGTGAACTTTTTTATTTTAGCGACTCTGGCACCCAGAAATCCTCAAAGAATCATCGAGATCCTGAACGCCCTCTGGATTCCGAAACCTAAATGTTCTTCGAAGCCGTCTATTTAAAAGATGAGAATCTCTACTTTACCTAATAAATCTTCGTCTAATAAATAGGTACCCTGTATGAAAAATTTCATATTTTCCTCAAACAGACTCGGTGCGATAGACAGTACGGTGTTCATGAAGCTTCAGATGGCTTCACTTCCTCTTATCTCTCGGTTGATATACAGTCTCGTAAGCTACCAGACTGGTACCACTGCACAAGAAAAAATATTAACCTCCCACTTCGACGCCTCAAAGCGTGAATCTTCGTCCTGGCCTGCACGGAAATTATTCTGTCCAACGGCGGAGCACCGCGTGCGCGCGTTTTAACAAACACGTCGCGTTCCCGGCATCGAATGCCATAACTTCAGGTCAGCCCTGACAACCGTGTTGTCAGTGATTTAGGGCAGAAACCAGGGAAGCTAATCGGGGACCGTGACGCACGAACGGAAGGAATACCCCAGTCGGTGTATCCGGTGAACTCCGTCGAATGGATCCGGCTGCTGGCGTCAGCCCTTCGAGTTGACGGAACCGAGGGAACAGTGGGAAAGGGAACAACATCTGGCAATTTGCGAGAACGTCTTAATAAACGAAATAAAGCATGATCGCGCCCAAGATGGTATGCTTTTGTTTCTGGGTCACTCGACGTGAAGGAACGTCGTCTGTGATTTAACGGAGCCGGTGCAAAATGGCGGACGGGGAAGGGAATAGGGGGATCTAGACAGAAATTGTGAAATAAACGTTGCGTGGAAACTGGCTGACGCCTTGTTCTTTCCGCTATCCAGCCGAATATTAAGTTTCTTTAATAAATTGAAGGGAATTTCGTTTCTCCTGCTGCGTTACTTGAAGATAAAGTGCAGCTCTTAGTTTGGTGTTTCTTTCTATATTTCGTTTATTGGATCTAACTTTCAAAGATCTATAGTGGAATAATTTTGTTGGGAACTACTACTGTCCAAGTCTTCAAGGAATCGATGATCGATTGTCTACAGAGTAGTTAATAGTATTTAAATATATAGATACATCGATAGAAAAACGACTGAAGCAAACGAATACTGTATTTAATAAAAGAATATTAAAATCCTCAATTAGTTTTCAATTTACTTTAAATTATCGAGGAAGAGAGGTGTTCAAATGAAGAACCTGATAGAATTCCCCCTTGTATCAGCGATATTCTATTACGAGGAAGAACACGGGGTTAAAATCTCCCAACTTCGTATAATGTTATAAACTGTATCAGCTTTACTAACTACCTATTTACCATACATATTTCATTTATTCGCGTACGTTCGCTGTCCGTATCCTTCAAACTCGATTGCAATTCATTTCTCGTAACTTGATTTCGTACGAATACGCCGCGTAATTGAGGCGTACTAACACACCATACCCGCGTGCTTGCGGTACTTGTGTGTGTGTATGTGTGTGTAGAATACACGACAGATGTACGGTGACGAGCAACTTGATCTCCGTTGAATTGCAAAATTTATTAACAGCTGCGCGATCTAATTCCACGGAAGACGTTCAATGAATCCAAGGGGAAACTCCTTCCCTTCGACGATCAAGTAAACGTCATGTAATAGCATTATAAATCGTAAGAAAATGAACACGGAATTCGATGCGTCCTATAATCACCTTCATCTTGAAATTTACAGTTAGATTACGGAAATTAAAAAATAAATATATCAAACAAGCTTACGTACATTAAATTTTTACTCGAAAACGATGTAAATCGATGTTGGATTCAGACGCACTATATAATGGAATTCTTGAATACGACGATAAAACGCAGCGCGAACGCGTAAATATTTGACGAGGAATTCGTGGCGAATAATTGCACAGGGGAGTGGAAAAAGTGGATCAGTCGGAAAACGGGCCCGTCCGCGTTGCGTTCGAAAATAGAGCAGCTACGCTATCGCAGCTACTCATCTAGCCGGTTCCGTGTCACTGTCCTCGTAATTTATTCATCGTACACCGTCCATCATCCTCCTCCTCCTCCTCCTACGGTGCATTTTGTGACGTCACGGTGACCCTTAAACCTCCGGCGACCGACCGAGAGCGCCCGCTCGATTTTCAAGACTCGCAACATTTTCCTTAAGGAGGGATTCTCGTATAACATCTCTAAAAACAAGTCATTTTCTGCGAATTTCTTTTTAAAAAAATTATTAATAGTACGAGAGTAAAAAGAAATATAAGAAACCATGCTTAAAAGCTAAGAAATTTTGTTAATAAGAATTTATGAAATAAAGAATTAAAGAAACTACTTCTTCATTTTTTGGAATTCGACCTTCAAATTTTGGGGGTCTATTTTTGAAATGTTGTACCTTTGATTTATGTAAATAAAGTTGGTTCGATTTCTTTGAACCTGTTACGCGAGAATCCCTCCTTACCCCGTGCTGCCGATCCAGGGCAATTCAACGGAAGAATTTAATACACACTGATATGAAAATCCCATCTGACCGTTTCATGGGCGTAGAAAAAAAGTCGAATCATTATTTGTAAAATAACAAATGGGTTTCACGAAATTGGAAAAGGTCTGCGAAATATATTTATTTCCGACAAGGGGTTTAGAATTCACGGTGGCTCTCCGTTACCGCGCGGCCCTTCTCCTGTTTCAAATCAAATCAATTTGTCTCGGTGGCCACTCGGTATTCATTCCGTGTCCCGTGACGTGTTCAACTTTCGAATTTAAACGTCAGTCACACGTGTATCGGTAGAATTTGAGTCGTAAAAAAAGGGGGGAAAGGGTCGCGAACGCCCACGCCGCAGTAGATTCTCTTGAATCGGTGTCTGTCAGACGGCTGACTGTGGTTGTCTCATTCTACTTCGAGGAGATAACACTGTAACCCCTTGAAAATGGTCAGACAATCATTTTCCCTTATTTTTCGCTGTTACTTTTTTAAAGTAATGAACATTAGTTACTTTTTAAAGTGAAAAGTGTCTGTACACGCTGCTTTCTTAAAAGAAATAACGTTGTTACCCACTGTATACCCGAAGAATAAATCCTTTCTTATCCCGGACGAAATCCTTCAGGAATCGTCGAAGAAGATTTACTGCCGGTGATTCATATGTCCAAATCCAATCAAAACGAGCGACGTTTAAATCCTTGTCTATCTATCCTCTTTGAATTCGAGGCAATTCCAGAAAATATTTGGTTTTAAAGATTCGTAAAATAACGTGTGGACATTTTTCTACGAAATATTCTCACGCTTCGAAACATCACGGTCATCTTTTTGTTTTGGAAATGATTGTTGCTTGATTCGCGCGAAACACGACGATCATCGGGGTTAGTGAATACGTCACTGGGAAGCGTGACAGCGTAGTGAACACAGTTTTCGTTACGATTTTCTGGGCTCCGGATACGGGATGAACGCACCAATCAACGCCCCCTGAAGCGTGCTCCATTCGGTGACATTAATTTGTCTGCAATTAGAGCGAAATTTCAGGGCGTAGGGTGGCGTCCGCGTTCGCGAAATGAAACGGTGCCCGTGCACACGAGAGCACAATGGGACGTAATGAAACGGTCCTAACGCTGTAACCTATCAAGTGTGGGGCCGTGGATAAAAAAAATATTTTCTGCTGCCTCGGCGCTGGCAAGAATTGTTGCCAAGTCCAGCGACAGGATAGCTCTCTCGGTTTCCGAATCGATACCAGAGACACCCCCGCTGTCGTTTGTGCGAGCAATCGTGTTATGGGAAGACACTTCACACGCTGAATGAACCATCAAATGGCGAGGTGGAAATGTTTTCATAAGGGACAGTAAATGGATTTTCATCACAGCGGCTGAGGACTAATATAATTGTTGGAATTTTAATTAGAGGATTGCGTGGTTCTAATGGGATAGTTACGAGAGACTGCGGTGAACCCGTTATACTGGGTGGTTTGATTCACCAGAAACATACAAGTATCACAAAACACAAGAATATTGAAAGACTACGTTATTCAGATTGGAATAATTATCTGTAATACAAATTCGAATGTAAATTCAACCAGCGAACTTTAAATTAAGAATCCATAAAGACCAAGTTTAAATTGAATGGTTGGCTCGAAAAGTAAGATATCAATTCAAATTCCGTCCATCAACTTCGAACATCATTATATGATCGGGAACGAGTAGGAAAATTCGGAACAAAACCTATTTACGAACGGAGCAACGTAAACGAAGAACATCAAACTATGTCGGTGGAATCGAGAGCGCACGCTCAGCCGATGTATTTCTATTCATTTAATTTCTCCGTGCCGCGTGGTACAATGCAAATTCCCGTGAAGTTGAGGGGCGAGAAAGTAATGAAGTCGCAAATTATATGCGAAAAGTTGGTCCGACTGGAATTGATCTCGCTCCCTTTTCCGTCCACCTGGGGGACCAGTTACCTGGGGTCGGACCGCATCCTTAGATTCCTTCGCGGAGAAGCTTCCACCGTCAGGGGAATTAATTATCCAGCTGGGAAGGATATGCAAAAACCGTCTATCTATAATCGTGCCTCTCGTTCGACGGTAATTTATTATCGGGCTGTCGCTGCCGGTGCAGTTTTCGTCGGATATTGCAATTATGAAAATTAATGCAAGTCGACGCGGCACGAACGAACGTTCTCTCCACCTCTCTTATCGTTCCCTGGCTAATGCGAACGCGTTCGTTTCATAAAACCGATTCACAAAGAATTATATCCTTTCCTGGCCTGCCCTCTATCGGGGTCGATGAAAAAGGGGGCAAAACGACGGATTCAATTTCGAAAGAATTATGGAATCAAGTTACATCAATTGCACGCGTTCGAACGAAAACAGCGTATTCCTGCCTCGAAGGGTTTCGTTCGCTTTTTTTTATCTATCAAATTTCAGTTCTGAAAGCCTGTCAGGTGAGATGAGCAAGAGGTAAAAAAAAAAAATACGGTACAGATGGAAAGCGATATTTTAGTCGGATGGGAAACGCATCTCGAAGGACAACAAAGAAAAAAAATGATAACATCCCTGTCGATTTTGATTTATTAGGGGTAGAGACCTTGGTGAACTTCAACTTTCCTCGTAACTCGCCGATACTGCGTCGGCAGAATAGTGTCGAACGGTCGATGATTAATGACTGACGATACTTGAAGGGATATCGAGGTCTTGCGAGAATTTAAAGAAGTTCTTTTAATCGATAACTGAAGTTAGAGGATGGCGGCTGTTTTATAAAGAGGAGAAATGCGTGGGATATATTGGGTCGAATCGTAAAAAACTTTCACCCGCGACAGATGCTGCATTAACTGACAAATAGAGGAGGACCGTTCGTTAATCCAAAATGAAATCACGTTACCTGTCTGTAAAGACGCCGAGGGAAATAAAATGAGCGGGCGAGAAAGCTCGGGGAACGAGTTTCGCCGTGGAAACACGTCGATCGTCTCTCGTTATCGTTCACTTCGATTGTGCAGCCCGTGGTTTAATCCACGGCCACCCGAAGGCGAGCACACGCTGTGGGACTAGCCACAGCTCGACCGGAGATGGAAGAAAATCGAGGGCCACTGTAATTTCCGGCACGATCGCTGAGGCTGGCAGGGTTTGAAAAACAAGGGACCTGAGAGGCTTACACGTAGGAACAGAATTCCGGTTCTTTCACTCACTGTCACTCCGATAGACATTGATTGTCCCACCGATGTGGAAACACTCTGAAGCCGATAAAAATCTTTACAGTCGAATTTTAATTAATGTATCGATCATTTAAATCACATTCGAAAATAATTACCGATCGTAATCGAAATAGAGAATACAAATTCTATTGTATTTTTTAGTTATGGTTGTAGCTTTAGTTAATTAGCATTTATTCCTTGTCACCCTGTAATGACAAGTTCGTGGTCTGATTCAACGTTTGAACGTTATTTATCAGAACCAAACGGTCGAGTTTGATTATAAATTTGGACAAGCTTTCCACGCGAAAGCACGATGTCGTGATTAACTCACTCGATCCACAGAAACCTACCGGATGATTATCAAAGTGCCACGTTAACAAGCCACGGCAAGGATAGTAGGTACTCGAAAATCATTAAAAGTCGTTCGCGTCCATATCGTAATTGGATTTTCACCGAGTCTTTCAGAACACATTCGACCATTCGAAACGCAGCGAGGCCGCGTTTGCCGTCACGTCGCACGGGACTAATTAGCCTCGCGTGACACCGCCTTTGATCCCCGTAAATTAATAATAGCGACCGTGCTACAACGTACCTGCCGGCGAATTCAATTCCACCCTTTCGTCCACCTCCCGCTCCCCATCGTCCCTTTTCACAGGCTTCGTTCCGGTGGCCAGGGCCCCTTGCACATTTTTCGACAATCTTCCAAGGGCTCGGGACTGACTCATATGTCGCGGCACTTTTCTATTTTCTTCGGTTTTTTGTTGCCAGGGCCGTATTTTACAGCCAGTAATTGTTGGTTTTTTGCGGTCGAAGAAGCCCGAGTTGCTTTGATAACTCAGTCATCAGCTGGAGGAAACAACTTCCGGTCATCACTGTCGATCACTGTCATCTTTTGACGGAATATACTAGCTGTACCAAAACGTGATTCACTATTTTTTACAATGTCCAATATTCATTTTCGAGAAAATAAAACATACATACTCTCTCAGGAATGTTCCCGATTGTTCTTCAGCAGTTCGCCAAGCCACTTTTATCAGGTACGAAAGCGGGAAAATATATTGGAACGAATGTTTAGTAACAACGTAAGTCACAGGACGCTTTAGTAATCTGAAGTTAAAAAACAGTAATGGCTTATTCATTGGTACACCTAAATAATACTGAAACAATTGAAGGTAAATTATTAATTGTACCAAGGATATTTATACAAATATACATTGCTGTAGACTAATTTGTAAAAGCAACTATTAAGTTTGTCCCTTTGAATAGAAACGGTGACATGGTTAAGAACTGGTCGTGAAATGGAAAAGAACAACGTTGAATACTTACTATTAAAAAGACGCGTGTGTCACGTCCCGACGCGGCTAACATCTGCCCATGCTTCCTCTCGCAAATAAAACATCAGCAGAGACGTTTTTCCGTCGTCGCGTTCCATATGCGAATCCCAGCTGCATCTCACGAGCGTCGTTACCTTCTACTTCCTTTTTTTTTTCTTTTTTTTTTGTGTGTGTGTTTCGTCTCCGACATTGCTCCGCGGATTACTGAAAGAAAGGAGCCGTGGTTCCCGCCACAAACGAGGACACTTGTTCTCGAAGATCCATCATTGCTATTGCTCCTTTGAGCCAGCCCCCAGCGCGATGAATTCAATCCTGGTATTGGAGAACACTTAAAAGAAATTCCTCTGGAACGCCGTATCGGGGATCTGACTCGACTAAAACTCGTGGCTGGAATGGGGGTCTCTTTGTGCCGGTGTTTGGTTGCAGCTAAAGGGGGGCCTTTATCCGACACAGAATCCAAGTGTACCTGAAAATAAAAATCTGATTAGTATCAAATCGATATTGACAGTATAGCCCCTTGCTTTCTAATGAAATACTAAATTTTACAGGACATAATAAGTTGTTTAAATTTCTTCTATCTAGCTGCAGAATAATTCCACAAAGAAAGTTAAGTTCAAAGTCCCCAAGGTAATTCTCTCGTAATCGCAGCTACATTTTCACAATTATCCCTTACAGGACTATTCAACAGAAAAAGTTAAGTTCGAAGTCTGCAAGGTATTTCTCTTCTAATTGCTGCTGCACTTACACAATTATCTATAGTATCCTCGCAATTTCTAATCGACAGTGAAAAGTCAAAAGATCCGTCGCACCGAATACAAAGTGACAAGAGAGGTTTGCACCGGGCCGACACGCGAAACGAGATCGTCCATCGTTAGTAGAGCGTGTCTCCGTGCCGCGAGAGAGTGTCGAGAGAACAAAAAAGGAAAAAAAAGAAGAAGAAGCCTTGCCTGAGAAATAGAGTACTAAAAAAAAAACGAGTGGAACGCTGGCTACGACCTCACCGGGTCCTATTTTTCATCTTCCGTCACCCGTTTTCGTCCGCCGGAAAGAAACACCGAGACAAAGGTGACGCGAGCTGAATGGCCGGAACGTCTCGCGCGTTTGTTTGATTTCATTCCGAATCGATTGCTTTGTTTGCGACCATTTCCGACTGGGACCACCGTCGCACCGTTTTTATCTTGTCCGATAACGGACGCGCGAGCGTTGTGTCTGAATGCATGTGTTACATAAACCCTTAAGTGTGACGTGATTTAAGTCTTCTTTAAAGGATTCAAAAAGATATTAAATTTGAAGCTACAGCACAGTTCACAAGAATAGTTCTTAACAGTTTCACTCGAAAGTTAGTATACAGTGATTCACACGTTTGTTTCGGGAAAGCTGTCATTTCTGTGTGAACATATTAGGTTAAAAATGCGAATTAAAATAAGGAAAAATTGATAACAAATGAATGATACAAGTATAACTAGAAATTGCTTAAAAATGTGTAGTCTCAAAAGCACTTCCCTTGGTTACTATCCAACGAACAATCCCTCCTTCTAGCCCCTTCAATTATTTACCTCGTGATTGCATTAATGCGCCGACAACACGAATAAATACGCGTCTGTGATTTACCCACTTTGAATGATGAACCGAGACAGACGCGTTAGTAGACGCAGGTAAGGGATGAAAAGCCCGTCTATAGAGAGATTTGTTCCCCTGTTCCAACGCGTCGATTCCACCTCTCCTCGACCTGTGTCGACTATTTGAATATCGCGAGGTGAAGCTCGAAGGAAAATAGAGACACTATTACAAATAGACGTCTACGACGCGGAGATTAGATGTTGAACGTAACCCCCGTAGGGAAACTCAATTTGAACGTTTTCGGTTGCCGTCAAGACGCTGGAACGCCTTCGTGATTATAGTAGAATAGACGGACGGGGGTGAGAGAGCGCGTCGTCGAGGCACGTGAAAGATCGAGATCGTGGAAGTCCCTCGTTCGAGCTCCATTTCACCCCGTGCACGATGAAATGAAGTTATTCGAAGGTTGATTAGATCGTAGATTGTGCGAGGAACACGCATCCCGACGATTAATACCGACTTCCCTAAAAGCTACCCTTTCGAGGATGTTGCCAATATTTTAGCTCCTAGTGACAGATACCGGAAAATATTGATCCAGCTTGCGAATAATAACTATGAAAGTGTGTTACATTGAGACCTACAAAATGGAATTCCTTCAGTTACAGTAAATTTCAATACTGATTCGGATTTATAGACTGAGCGACTCGAATTAGTGGCGAAACAAGGCATTCTTAGAAGCTCTTCGACTGTATTCTATTAATATTCAAGATCACTCAGCTCCCGGTGCCAATCGTGAACTGTTTCGGAAATATTTCATTGCAACCTTATTCACCTTGAGAGTAACTGCCAAATTAACTACAAGACATTCAGTTTCACAATTCCTGCGTCCACTGCCTCTAACCTCCTGACATTTCCCTGAAAACAGTACAATTTATCTGTATCATTCAACCGATTCGAAGAAAGGACCGTCGAGAGAGCTGCCCATCGCGAAGCCTCGTTTATGTCCACCATAAAGTCGTAACATCCACGGACTGGCGTCATTGTTCTTTCGCTCGTATTCAACGAAGGGTTACAGGGCTACGGGTCCGAGAGGAAAATCTAGTGAAGGGAAAACCGTGGCGAAAAGAGAAACAACCGACGGCCTCGTTCGGCGAAACACGTGGCAGTCCAATAAACGACCCGGCCAGACTGGGAATGTCGAGCATAATTTCTACTTTGCGATACGAACGATGACGGGAACAAAAGAACGAAAAAAACAGTGGTGACGGAATGTAATCCTGGGAAATGGAAGGACCGATAAGAGATACTGGACGTAATGTTTCGAGTGCGAGGGGACTATCGGCGGGGGACTGGCAGTAGCGTAATTATAAAAGATTTATTTCTTAAAGTACTTGGTAACTGTAACTGTACAAACGACCTATAAAAATTGCACATCGTTGGTGTCGTCCAAAAAAGAACGAGCGTCTCCTTATAAACTAATTGCATTGTTAGAGATAGCACCGGTACACATAAAGAAACAGACATTATACTAATCCATATTAAAGACTATTGCCCACCGTGCCAGAAACGTGGTATCCCAGAAACACATTCTTGCGGGATTATTAAGTTATTACTTTTCTATTTTTTTTTTTTTTTTGGCGTAATTCTTGTGGATTACATTTTGTACCTCCTATTTTCGTGAAACAACTCCGATCATTGACGTCCTGGTGGGCAGGATATCAATTCCTCGATCGACTTGAACAAAGAAATCATATCGACACGTCCTCATCGGTGTCGTAATTAACAGTTACGTAATTCTTATCGCGTCCTTCGGATTTTTCTTAGCGAAATAACGTGCCCGTACGCGAACACCACCGGACTCTAATCGACACGTCGATCTCATTCCGTGCGTACTGTTCGTCGAGATGTCACATGAGTATATTCCTGTTGTTGAAAAAACTACGAGGGACGTTCGTTATTTGCACAGTTCCTTTAATTTTGTTCGAAGGATCTTCCCGCTGGCGTTTTTCGGGATACTGTCCACGAACGACACTCCTCCTGCAACGATGAAGCGTTTGTCAATCGACGTGTCGCGCAAATTCGATTAGATCTCGGTGAAATACCGTTCGATAGTTCTTGCGTTCTTCGGTAGAATCGAAAGGTGCTTGAAACGGAGATTAAGTAAAGGGAAAATTAATCGATAACGAAAAGTGATATTACCTTTGAGCTCTTTATAATCCGACACTTTTCCTTTCACGAAGTTCTGGATGCTTTCAACGGTTGGATTTGAGCCTTTCTTCGGTACAATGAAAGCTTTTGGTACTTCACCACATCTTGCGTCTGGAACGCCGACCACACCCGCTTCAACTACGCCCGGGTGACTTCTTAACAACGCCTCCAGTTCTGCTGGTGCAACCTGTAAAAAAGTTTCGTTTCGAGGAAGATCAGTTGTTAAAAAATTCTAGGTTCCTATTGTTTGCTTCAACAAAGTCAACAGTTTCGGAAATATTCGAGTATATTTATTAGAAGGAGATCACTTATTTGAGAATCACGAATAAATTCAATTCTTAATAATACAGCCACTCACCTGGAACCCTTTAACTTTGATTAATTCCTTCAGTCTGTCCGTGATATAGAAATCGTACTCTTCGTCGTAGTGACCGATGTCTCCCGTTTTCAGCCAGCCATCTTCGACGATCATACTCTGCGTGGCGGCCTCGTTGTTATAGTATCCTTTCATAACGTGAGGCCCCTTGATCCATATTTCACCAGTCTCGCCTGGTCTGGCGACATCTTTATTGGTAGTCGGATCGACCACCCGCACCTCGCATCCGGGTATAGTTTTTCCGATGCTTCCCGGCTTCGTTCCGGACACCTCGAAGCAACAGACCGGCGACGTCTCCGTCAAACCATATCCTGGAAAGTTAAAGCGTATCGAACGTTTATCGAGACTCGAAGAATCGAACGATATTTCGTGGAACAAACAAGGATTCGATCTTCACCTTGACAGAATTTCATGTTGTCCTGGTTCAACTGAAACTTATCGTAGAACCTCCTGAAGTCGTCCTTCGCCATCGGCGCCGCGCCAATGACAGCGTGATGCATGTTCTCCAAATGTTCCTTCTTCACGAACGGAGAGGCGTTGAAGAATAAGAGTAATGGTGGGACTAAGTACATACCAGTCATCTGCAAGAAAATGTCTAAATAATAATACTATCGACCATAATTGAATAGACTATAATAATCCTTATGAAACCTGACGGTCTTTTAAATAGATCTAGATCAGCAGATCAAAAACAATTCTGCACGGTGAGGAATTACATTAAATGGATTCAGCTAGGGTATTGCACTCTGTTCAGGAGAATATTTTTCACAAGTTTTTGTTACTATCTGTGAGATTATAAGCTTTCACAAACATTCCTGTACAACTACTTTATACACACTTGTGTCAGGTGAAATAAGAAAGATGTGGCATGGAAGTTACGTTCCCGCTTTCCCATAGCTTCTATAGACCGAAATAATTCATAAGCTCGAAGCGAAGGCTCACCTTGTGGTTCGCTAAAAGTTGAATGAACTGTTCCGGAACGAATTTCGGTACGGTGATTATTTGCGTGCCACGGGCAAGACGCGGCAGCGTGAGGCCGTTCATACCAAAAATATGGAAGAATGGTAGAATTAACGGCATCACTTCCTGGAAGGTCGCTAGAAAACGACGTAGTCATAAGTTTCGGATATACATGTATAAAGGGCAATTTTTCTATTCGAAGATTCGAGACAGCGCCCTTACCTGAACTGGTTTTCCACATTCTTTCGTCGACCGTCATCTCGGTCATCTCCATATTGGAGACCAAGTTTTTATGCGTTAGCATTACACCTTTTGGCATGCCTGTCGTTCCGCTGGAATAAGGCAATACCGCCACGTCGTTGACAGACACCGCACCGTGTTTTATGGGTGGCAGTGACTTGCCACGTGTAATAAGATCCTGCAAGAATGACATTTCTATTAACCTTGATTCGGTGGAAAAAAAAACACTCTTTGAATGGACAAATTGGTTCTACCAATCAGATAACCGAGATGTGTTATGTCATGGTTTATGTAAACATTGTAAACTATATTACATTTATTCTTCATTTTTTCACTTTCTCAACAAAAAAGTGAATTATTCGACTTCTTGAGAATTAAATCAACCGTCAAAGATTGACTAATGAGCTGATTCGTGGGAATAATATTATCTCTCTGATCAATCATCAGTCTCACCATGAACGGTATAGTGCCCTCGGGACTAGAACCAGTGCCATCATCGATGACAATGACGGATGCTCCTGGCGGTAGATTGCCCTTCGCAGCTTCGAGTGCATTACCCGCGATTTCTGTCACCGCAATGATCGCCGCTGCCCCGGAACTTTTCAGTTGCCTCGAAATTTCATCTGTATGACATGAAACCGTTCGACAATGTTAAGAGCAGCTTCAAGGTGCTACTAGCATGTGCAAATGTTACATAAGAAATGAGAAAAAACGGCGTAAATCAATTCGCATAAATCTCAATGCGTAACAAGATCGTAAAATGCTCACATTACTCTCTCCTTAGGCAATCAATTTAACAGTCTACGATTTACGACAAACTATTCTCATATGAATACAATCAACTTCACACGATTCTGAAATCGTTTCTTTTCTTTCTGCGAAATTTTGCTCTACGAGAATAATTAGCGATACACCACCTATTACGCCTGCTTACTTTTTTCATTTAAGTGGGATACTTATTTTTTTGTTTGTCATTATAAATGGAATAGCTATTAAGTTACAATTATACATTGAACCTGAATTGTAATAAGTGGCTTCGACGATCGCCAATTAACTCACAAGGTGTGTAAAATGGATTGACAGTGGTAACGATTAATTCGGCCTCCAAGATACCGAGAAACGCTAGAACCGATTCAGGATAATTCGGCGCTATTAAGGCAACAGTGTCTCCCTTTCTCAGGCCAATGTTCAGCAAACTTCTGCCGATATAATTAGCGGCGTCCCTTGCCTGGCTGTACGTGTACTTCCTTCCGGTCACCGAGCATACCTAAAACGGCCTCATTGATTACATTGGAATAATAACACGCTCAGAATTTTCCTTCGTCATGAAGGCTAGACGGGAAATCAACAGGAAAAATTACCGTTGACAAACACCTATTAGATTGTCGCATAGAAAATGTTTCTTCTTTTAATAGGGACCTCTCCTTATAAGTATAAAAGTCATAACGGCAGCATCAGAGCTATAATTTTCTACCTCACTATACAGGATGTGCCACCTAAGGTGAGCACCTTAAATATCTCACTTATTTTTCACGATAGAAAAAAAACGTGACAAGAAAATATTATTTGATTCGGAGGGCCAAATACTGTGATCAGCGAGAAAAATTCACAAGGTCATAATTTTCGAAATTTCAAGGGCATCCATGTTTTTTTTTATGTGGAACTACATATTTTTATTATCATGGCGTGATAGTTGAGATCAAGACGAATTGTTAGATGGGATACCCTGTATTACTAGAAAGTTAAGTCATTCTAAAGAAGAGGTACACATCGTTTCCCGAATAATTACCATTCCAATTACGAATCAAAAGAACCATTTCGTATGGTACAATCTAAACGAAAGACAGCTTATCGTTACGTTTAACATTATTTGATTTTTCACGCGAGGTAATTTTTCCTTTGATCGATTTCTCCGATCGAAACGAGGGAGGGCAAAATGACTTTCACGCACCAGGGCCGTAAGGTTCCCGTGATTTTCCACGTTCTTCCAGACGTACTCGTGTACGAACATCTCGCTGGGCGTGTACTCGCCGTACGGCGACGTGAAAATCTTTTTCCCATTTCCGTTGTCGACCATCTCGTGCTGGGCCTGAGTAGACGCGCATCTCACGGACCGGTTCAAATGTTTCGTCCCACTCTCCGACGTCAGCTGGCCGAGCCTTCTTCTCGCGCATCGGAGTACTTGCCTGACGCTGGTCATTCCTGTGTTTATTTCTGCTGGACGAGATACCTTTCGCCTCTTCCGGTCGGTCGTCTCAACAATTCATCAAATTCGTCGGCTAAAGAAGAAAAAAAAGAAAAACGTCGAACGACGGGAAATTAGTCCGTGTGAAAGCGACTTTCTAGCCGCGCCGGGTAACTGGGCGCGGGTGGGATACACGGGAGGAATGTAGGCCAACCGGCCGACAACGATGAGAAGGAAAAACGTTTCTCGATAACTCACGGGAAACGGCAGAGCAAATGCACTTGGGGAATCTACAGGGTGTTCACGAGACGAGAATTTTCGAAATCGATCAACGAGAAGAAACGTGGGATATTCCCTTATCCCTTTAACGTCCAGTGTGACTTATACGTCACGCCTGGAAAATCTTATTTCCAAGGGCTCTGTCGTGAAACACACAAATGAGATGAACTAATCGCGACAAATCATTTTTTGTAAGTTCCTGTACGTCTAGTGATAAAAACCGATAGGAAATGATAAATCGTCAGTCTTCAAATGAGAGCGATGATAATTATTGGATGATATGCTTCTCAGACACCTGTGAATTTATCTACAGAAGAATGATTGAAAACTGTTGCATGGAAATTTTCACCTACACTGTACCATCGCAGTTAAGAAAAAAGGTAATTAACATCGGACGCGAAACCAGTTTCATTAGTAATGAAATCTTTCAGAATTATTCAGATGGAGTTTTTGCTACAGTCGATTTAGATGTACATATCAGTAGCCTATTATGTTATGCGCAGACAAGTAAGTGGCTTTTGAGCGATTAAATGATCGCAACCGCTGAATGTCACAAATAGAGGCTATCCTCTTCGGACTACCTCGCTAAACTGAACTGTTCGTGGAGCTTGACCCCAATGAATGTGATAAATTACTTATTTTCTATTATTATTATACTAAAACCCGATAATTCAACTGTCATCGTTAGACTGCGGATATTTGTGCATTTATAACGTTCCCGGCCTGCCAGAACGTAGCAAAATACAGATTCCAGTACAATATAACAGTATAGAAGAACAAAATTCTGTGCAATTTTGCTTTTTCCGTATTCATGATAATGGTAAGTTTGAATAAATATCCACAATCTACTCATCGCTAACTTCTTTCAAAATAACGACACTAACAAGTAACGATCAATACCGATCCGGGGATTAATGGATATGCAGACTTCTTTCTGGACATATACATACATAATTGGGACGCATTTCCCCAAGAAATTTTATTCTTCCTATCGAATCTGGTACAAGAACTTGCTATCCTAAATTCAGGTAAGCTGAAAAATCGAACATCCACTAAAAGCCCTGAATATTTGTGTTGATAGTTAAACTACAAACCATGAATAGAGGATGTCGCCAAATGAAACAGCGTGGGGCAGGGAGAGGTTAAACGTCGAAGGAAGTGTCCTCGAGAGGCCAGTCGATTTTGATCCGATTACAGTGCAAACAACGATGCCAAGGGCGACGGTTCCGCGTCAGAAAGCGATCATGCCCGTAACAAGCTCTATCGGATCGAGGCAGATGAAACGGGGCTCTGGCGCGCGATGGTGAGGAGGAAAGCGTGCCCGGAACGGTCGCTAGTCGACGCAACTCGCTTCTCCGCGTGGAATTTAAAAACAATAATCGTCGACGAATCAACCGAACATGACGAATAAACGGGTACAAAGTACAATCGCCAGCTGCTGCGTGCTCTCGACACACCTCAATGGGCGTGATGTCTTCGCGCGAACGTGACTACGAGGATATGTTATCGATAAGGGCAAATGTCGTAATGAGGGGGGGGGGGGGGGGAGCGTCGTTCATATTTAAGTCGATACAATGCTTATCAAAGAATCAACGATAGTTAGTTACGCAATAAAATATTTATGAGCATATGCATGTAGTTCCGGTGCAGACAACTGCGTCGTTCATGATTATCTACGCTGTCAGTTTCATAGACGTACAAGCTGGTGCAAAATGATCGATGACTCGGTCATTGGAACTGCCATTCTCACAATTTCTTCGATTGTGCGACGACAAAACAAACATGTACGTTGAACGTTCTTATCTATCGTCGGCTACTAAGACGGCGTGTACGAATTTACAAAGTGATTAGATATTGCCCATCGCCGGAACACGTACAAACGTGGCATCTGTAATTACCGATGTGTGTACTGTAGGTGGGGGTTATTTTGAGTCAGTCACAAGGATAACATTGTTTTGAAGCCAGAAAACTATCATTTTCGATTTTGCAGTTCTTTTTATGTAACTAACATTTTCACGTAGTAATGGAATTAATGTAACAGTTTGCAAAGCTGCAGAATCGAAAATGATCAATTTCTGAATTGAGACCAAGTTACCTCAACTTACGGTACCAACCTCGGGAGAATTCAGCATGAAAATTTACTAACAAAATCCGTTGAAAGTCAATATTATGAATTTTCGTAACACCACTTTTAATGCATAATTTGTAACAATCATGATACATATCGTCTTTCTGTAAATTGTCTCTTTTTGTAATTTTTTATATAGTCCCATAGAACTTTTTTTAAATTTTGTTAAACTATCTGTATTGTTTCTACAAGTTTATATAAACACTGGAATATTTTTACGCATTATTGTACATCTAAATTTTTTGTTTGTCTTCTAGACTTCCATATACCTGTACAATTTACCAAAGGGCTCGTAACCCATTTATAAATAAATATTATTATTATTAGTATTATTATGAATTAATCACTTCTTTCTGTTCGACATACCGTGAAAGGTGTTAATATCAATTCGATACCGTTCGAACGACGTCGCCCAGTCGTAAAGTCTGAACTGCAACGATAACAAACATCCCGTACGCATAAATTGATCGGCAATCGTATAATCTGTGACATTGTGGAAATTCGTGCGCGCACTCGAGCCACCGGCCGCACGAAGTCGCGTAATCATGCCACGGCTTTAAATAACCTTCCCCCCTGCAAACGACCCGTTTTCCACACGAACGTTCGCCGGCAGTACGCCGACACTCACGGACCAGCCAGCAGAAGGTCCCGTGTGTTGCGCTCGAGACATTCTGTTCTCTCGGCTGCGAACGCTATCAGTCAGCTTGGTATCGCGAAACAAACAATACAGCCGGATGTAAGAGCTGTGATGAATACTGCGAACCTCGATTGCAACTGCAATAACGTTCGGGGAGAGATGACAACGAGCGCGTCGAAAGAATCGGAAACACCCATACGTTCCATTCGTCGGAGATAAAAACCCGATCCGAGGAGTATCTGCCGTCGTGTGTCAGACGGCAGAGTGCTCGATAAACCGAAGAGATTAACGTATTCGGAGGGCTCGGTTTCGAAGAGATCATTTTTGACCAATCGTTTACAATAATTTAACTTGAATGAAATGGAATTTCAATTCAAATAGGCCCTCGCTGAACTTGTTTATCTTCGAGTTTCTCGAAGGAAAACACAAGTCACTTGTGTCTGTCCTTGTAGAACAATGTACAAGACGAGTGATTGTCTACTGTTGTCCCGGTAATTTGTTTTGATGAGAGTGTCAGGTCTTTTAGTGATTTGGTATTACTATTGAAAGACAGAGAGATGATTTTAACAAACTGCAATGTAATGGTGTATAAGCATGACTGACGGGTTGTCAGACTTGGATCTAACGATTAATGGTAATGAAAATAATTAACGTGTTCGCTGTTCTCGGGATGTGTCATTAGAGAAGCAGGCCTAAGCATTAAAAATAGTTGCGTATAATGCTCGTACAGAAGCGACATCTATCTTGAGTGCTGTGATGTATGATCTATCGAGAAGTAGTATACATATGCCGGAAAAGTGGAAAATAATAACTATGACATATTACCTTGACGTACGTTCTGTACTCTAGTTTAAACCCAACAGGACTCTTAAACCGAAGAAACAAAGTACTAATAATTAATAAAGCAGTCGTGCTTGATATCCTTACCTATCCGCGTGATATAGATCCTCGCGATAAAAGAAACATTCAATCGTTCAGGCCGTGCATTTGTAATCTACACCGTCCATTGTAGTTTCACGGGTATATAAAATTCAAACTAACACCACGAACAGGACAAATCTGGTACTAGTTTTGCGATCAACCGACGACACATCAAACGCGTTAATTCCCCATCGTTCATCAAAGACGACGAGCTTCACCATCGTAAAACTATACTTTTCTTCCCCGTGTCAAGCTATGCATATCCAAACGAGATGCAAGTGGAACCCCGTATGAAAGTGGTAGGATTTCATTCTTCCCCGATCGATCGTTCGCCTCATGAATAACCTGTTGCACACACCGTCGCGTACATGGGACCCCGGGTACAGGAACCGGACGCTGAACTGGGACCGGTCGAACTCGATGGAAACGATTCGATATAACGAACAGAGAGAAAATTTACCCTGTAGGAGATCGGCTGGTTCCCCCGTGATGCAAGAGCGGGCCCACGAAGATCGATTTGGGCACCTATCGTTCCCCCAGGCGAGGAAACGGAAGGATTTTACGGCGCGAAAACGTTTCGTGTTTTCCAGAAAACAAAACGATAACACTACGCAACTCGATCTCGGTTGATCCCGCGAGCTTAAGGGACCGCTCGACCTTCGATTTCGTTCGACGCAACACCGGACGAATTCTCTCGATCGTAGTACACGGGGTATACCGATCACGGACACTGGCGATGGAACACCGTGTGTTGGGCTGACGAACGTGGCTCGCGTGTCTGTTTTCACTGACAGACTACGGGATTCTCCGGCGAACCACTTAACTTCTACTAGCCTGTAGATACCGCCTCCACCCCCCTCTCTAACTCTCTCACTCTTTCTCTCTCTCATACCGTACTCGCGGATGCTCGCGAGGAGAGACGTGTGTGTACAAGGTGCTCGGAAAGAAAGGATTTTACATTCCCGAGGAAGGCTATTCGTGTACAACGAACTCCGCGCGCGCGGAGCCGCTGCATGCGAATGAAGCACCGCAATCGCCCTCCACTTCTCTCCCCCATCCCCTACGTCCCACCCTGCGGATGAAAACCTAAAGCGGGGAGAGTATGGCTTTTCGCGAAAACATCACCCGCCGTGCGATCGGTGCAATCGTGACCGTCCGCGGGACGAGCCTATCGCACGTTGCTCTGTACGATAGGTTGTTCTTGGTTTTGTGAATTTTTAGGTATGATTAGATAAAACTGTAGGATAAAAGACAGTAATAAGTTCGCCAAGCGTCTATTCATCCTGGAAAAATATAATTTAATTATAAAAATTAGAATTTTCTTTCTTTTTATGATTTTTCCGTTATTCGAAACTCTTTGTCCGGATATTATTATAACTAGATTGTATACTAAAGGGTTATATACCCGTATATCAATAAATAAATAAATAAACAAATTTAATATTGAGTTTGCCCATCTCCGATACGAAAAATCGAATATACTCTATGAGAATGTGAAGGATTTCACCTTCGAATTACATGTAACCCTCGCGTCGTGTTTTTTTTAAGTAGATCAGGGTTAGACAGGGTAAACAGTGAGTAGCTTCGTTGGCTATGGTTTAATAATGAAAATACTGAAATGTCCGAGACTACCCGCCTTTCTCCTACACACGAAGTTATCAATGACTTCGATGGATTCCGCTCGATTATCAGTTAAGCAATCAAAATGATCAGTGTAGATGATCTATACTAAGAGGGGAAACCAGTGCAGTGGTCCGGAAAAAATGCTATCTTTTTTTTTCCAACATTATTAACATAAGAAATTACGAGAAAAAAGTTACACGAATCTTTTTGAATGTCACAGCAGTTATATCAACAATGGTATACATATAATGGTACCCCATTACGCAATCATAGTCTAATTATTATTCGTCTATTTAGAAAAAATATACTAAATCAATTGAAACATGGAGCCATCCATTCAAGATTAAAGTATCGCAAGAAAATCCGTCGACGAACCTACGACGTATCAAAATTTTATTTTAATGGAGCAATCAGACTGATTTCCTCGAGTATCGCTCGTGCACCGCTCGTTGCAGCTTCAAAACGGTTTATCGTGCACGACTGCAAGTTATGTAATTGAATCGCGGAGATTTCGATTCTCCGATTACATAATCGATACGCTGTTTGCTTCGACTCGCGAATCATGAAGAAAAAAAACAAAACAAAATGATTATTCCGGCAAAATTGTCATTCGTCGGGAGGAATTAAGAATCATTCCGGACGATTATCGGGGTCACCTGCGGAAATGCCGGCCCTCTTGCCATCCGTCGACGAAATTTCCGTCGCGTGGTATCCGTGTTATCGTGCGTCGGTAGACGATACACCCCAGCAATATTGGACCTCGACCAGTTGACCGTCTCCGATATTTATTTATGAAAATCGCTATGGTAAAAGAGCCCCGATTAAAGCGCGTCACGCGTTCGATGCAGCCAACAGTCAATATTCGAAACGCAACAAGCACACGAAATGGAGACTGCAACATTTTCCCAATTAGAAAATTCTTACAAGAGATACAGACATTCCTTGGAAAAGCGATAACACTTCCGTCACTCGTCCAAACTAGGTACTACTGGATTCCGAGCATTACATATATGTAATATTCGATTTCGTGTCAAGGTTATGGCAATCTAGTTATTTAAATTTTTGATTTTATTTTATCCAGTATTTAACGAAGATATGTATTCTTGTGATAATAGAAACATTTACAAACGAAAACGTTTGTAGTCGTTTTCTGGAATATTTGAAACAAAGTTAAAAGAATGGCCAAACAATTGGTTTTTCGACTGTTTATTGTCTTTGCAATGTCTCGATGCACTATACTACGTGACCGTATATCGATGAAAATTATGTTTCTTCCTTCCCGTTTGCGATCGCGGTTACGCATTTAACTCGCGACGTTTGCGCCCGGCATATTGCCGAGACGTCGCTGCGTCGGCGCGCCGTCATTGACGCCGACTCCGATGTCCTCCGGCGCGCGGCCAGGACCGTAACGTCGTGTCGGAAAATTCGCATTTTAAAAAATTCCGCATTAAATCGGCGCGTTGTTTAATCGTGTACTTGAATCAAAACACCGGACATATACGTTCCTTGATTAATATTCATCGTAAAAATCCATTGTTTTGGAAAAATGGGAACGATTTTACAAGTAACTTGTTATGAACCGCTGTTTATCACCAAGGGCACGAATTTATGAATATGATCGTTCGAACATTCAATAGTATTTGGGTACTAATTCAAAGACAAATTCCACAGTCTAATGGAAAACGTCTGACAACTCTAGACAACCATTTCATTTGAATAGTAAACACCGAATCGAAATTTCAACTGTATTGTGATTCTGTAATTAAAATCGGTATTATATAGATAGAACCGAAATAGATATTTGTTAAAGAGAAATATCCATCAAAACATTTATAGTGTTTTGAAAGAGAAATAGACAACGAAGGCTACGTCAAACTTTATCCCTTTTTTCCATTATTTTATAATCGGAATGTAAATGTCGGCTCTGTATGAGTAACAATATACCACAAAAAGAAGAACTTCTATTGATAAATTTATTTATGCATACCATCCAGCGCCCCTCGACGGTTCATCCCTGAATCGAGGGTAACGACGACGCCATGTCGACGTTCATCCCTATAGTTCGTCCACGCCGCAACCCCCGGTACGTCCCCAGTTGACCGTGAATAGAGTCAAGCGGATTTTCGTCGAAGAAAGTTGGCAATTTCTAGCCGAGTGCCAGTCCGGTCGCGGCAGTGCGCTCTCCCGAGGAGAAACTGGGCTATGAATGAAGACCCAACCCTTTCACCTCGAGGTAATTAACGGGGAACGGTGTTGACGGGGGTTGGTTTTCGTTGCATCGATGTGCCAGAATGGTCATCTTTCGTCACGTCATCGGGATTGCGTCATTACGAATCAATTTTTTCGTCGCCCCGTCGAGATCGGACCGACGTCGAACGATCGATTTATCAGGGAGCCCCCCGTGAGAGCTGCGGAACGATGACTAAAAGAATCAGTGTGCGTGAATATATTTCGTTATTTAATTCCGTTCATCCGTGTGTCATCGTTGTAACGTTAACATATTGCCCCGCCGGAACGCACGATTCTCCCCGAGTGATCGCTGGCGGAATATTCGATTTCTCGACCGAAAGACGTCACGCGAATGTAGGACAATAGATTGTACCGAGTCCAAACGACGACGCAGTTTTACAAGACCGTTCACGCTCGATTTACTTTCGATAAACCCTGCTACATTACTCATTTTTTTGTTTTTTTTTTTCCATATAAAACGAACGTCACCGATCTATATATTCCTACGCAAAACGACAAACAAATAAGACCATTGTGTGAACGTGCTGTTTTACGTTCCATAGGTTTTGATAGTGTTACTCTTGTCCGTAATCCCCTGGCCAGGACCCAGCGTCTTTAAAATATCATGCCCCCGCGATCGAGCGTCCGTGGTGAGGAGGATAGTCCAAAAGGTAAAGATATTCCCTATTTATTTACCTGGTAGAATTGCGTGACTAGCGACGAATATAGTTGAATCGGTGCACTGCCTGGCGGACTTTAGTAGCTTCTTAGTGTTTTCAATCGAGAAGCGATTACTGGAACGCGCGATTGGCGAAGCAATTCCCTCAACTCTGTCGAGATTTCAGAGATGGATGCCCATTCTGAAGAAGTATCAGGTAGAGCTGCCGTTGGAGTGCCCGTTTCACGAGAGTCGAGACATATTTCGGCCGCAACAGAGAGCGAAACACCAGCACAGACCGTCACAATGGACTTGCGGACTTTGCGGCAAGTCCTTCTATGCGGAGAAACACCTGGATGCCCACTTCGATAACAGACACAAGAGTAACGTTAATACGGTGAGTCTTCTACCATACAACAAGTGTTCAACGAAACCATATGGTGTTATTGAATAATGAGATATAAAGATTGAGACCGTTCAAGGTGTTACCGGGGTAATTATAATTTCTAGAAAACTGATTGTCTTTTGAGGAAAAACTGTACTTGTTCGCGTAACTTTGCCAACTGACCAAGATGTACGAACAGTTTCAAAAGATTCAAACGCTACACCCAGTGCTTCCAGCGAAAGGAATTTCCAATTCTGACTAATCGTCTGCTTATACTACTTATTCTTCAGACACAGACAGTTTTATGGGCTGAAGTGCTAGACTGATTTACACTGACAGAAAAAACGAAAGGAAATCTACACTAGACTTAAACTTCGCGATGTACACATCAAAAGTGGCCGAAAAGGCACAACACTAGACATACATATATAATACATATAAGTAAAAACTATCATTCCCATTTATTCGAAACCCAGTAGGGGACCTTGTCACATGCATGTGACATAACGACTTCTTCGTGTATTATTGACAATGATTAAAGAACTGCTAGAATTTTACATATTCCTCGAAAATAATTGAATCGACCACTTACTGATGAGAATTAATGTTTACGATCAGGCGGAGGACGCGGTGTGCCTCGCGGACTACTGCGACATCATGAGATGCGACGTCCTGGGGAATCGTGACTTCGAGAGCTCGCTGGTGGACGACGAGACGGGCCATCACAGCACGGACATCCAGGTGTGGAAAGAAAATACGGAGCAACGTTCCACCTCGGTGATGCCGTGCAACCTGCGCGGCCTGTCGAGGTCATACCCGGTGGAGAAATCGTGCACAATGTCTGGCGGCGGGGCCGTTAGAAACATACAGCGTTACTGTCACCGTGAGGATAGCGGAGCCCTCGAGAATCATCGGTTGCCAGGCACGGCGTATTACGTGGAGATTGCCGGGCCGGACAACAAGAGCAACGCCTGCGACAACGAGGAGGAGGAGGATGAAGAGGAGGACGAGGACGACGAGGAGAACCTGGTCGAGTCGGCTCTGCCAGCCGTGGACAAGAAGCAAAGGCGCAAGGGACTGCATCTGAGGAAGCTGAAGTCCAACTGCAAGCCAGAGGAGCTACAGAAGCTGAAGTTGCAATGCGAAGTTAGTTGAGAACGTGAGAAAATTAACCCCGGAGTTTATGGGGCACACATGCGTCAAGCGAAGCGTATACAGTAAATCATCGATTAGTGTTCCAAGGCTTCCCATTAAATATTTCGTAAACTAATGGCCATATGGAACTGAAACAAATATCGTTGGCTACAAAAGTTAAACTTTATTAAAAAGTCGGCGTTACACCTGGGGCCTCTCTTCGTCAGTGTCTTCGAACACTCATCGATGATTTACTATACAATGATAATGATAGTAGTACTGATATTGATAGTATTGTCAGGGGATGGTATTTATCTCATCAAAGATATAGTAAATATTGAGAGTATTATTGGCCATCTAGGGTATGATTCACAACATCTGTGTGGATCTCGACTCGAAGCGGTCCAATTCTGTTGTTTGATAACACTTTTGGAAGTTTATCGTTCCTTCTGTGTGTTCAACTTGTGACGCCTATATCGTGCTTCTACGAACAGGAATAAAATCGTCGCGTGCAAACAGAGATAATAAGGGTAAAATTCTGTTGATTCTGTGACACATAGGAATGAGACTGTTCATATATAATCTAGAGATCTACCGTCTTGGAATAGGCACACTCTTTTTACGATAAATCTCGATGGGTCTCTCGTCGTGATAATAAATTCCGATAGCGGATGGAAGACAGAATTCTATGGAGCTCGAAGAAAGTCTGCATGAAATTAATGTACAGGTACCAGTCGACGTTTGGAGGCTCCGATTTTCGCACAACTGCTTGAACCATTGAGTAATTATAATAATTCGAAGTAATTAAGAATCTCCCTTGTAGAAAGTGAACTGCTTTTATCTATCAATGGTAATCAATACATCTGATTCTCAACGTATCTAGCTCCAAAATCGTATTTAGGTACCGCTATCATCGTTCTCAACGAATAATAGAGTAGAATAAAATAAGACGCACATACGAATGACACGATTAACTTGGTATTCACGATTATCCGCTTTTTATTGATACCATTAACAGATACTCGTACGCGATTGCATCGCTGGACTTTTGACGAATCTCTCGGTACGAGATTTCCAAGAAATCGAAGGTATGTAATTATAGAGGAGTGTATAAACTCGAAGGGATCGATGATGTAATGTGACTTTATCTGTGATTTGACCACGATCTAGGGGAACTGAACCGCGCGATATGCTGGTACCTCAGCTGCGACAGGTACTGGGAGGACACGAAGAGGCAACAGAGGCACACACCTTGGTACCTGCTCACTATTTTTTTCGCTGTTCTGTCCATGTCGATTTATGCATGCTACTACGTCATCTGGGTCCTGTTCAAGTACGTACGTTAAATCCATAATATTTACCTACTTATATAAATCCTACGACTTGTAGCACGCACAGTTGTACAGAATTATCAAACAATTTCACTTGAGAAACTATTATCAAGTAACAGAAACAAATGAAGGGAGCCTATCTGTATTATGTTTTCATTCGTAAGAGAACCATGTATCGTATTGTTATCCTGTTTGAGAATTTAATTACAGTTTTCATTAATTTGTTGTTTTAAGATCGGAGGAACGAATACACACGAACTAACTTAACGCGCACAAAGTATGAACAGAACAATATTTACAAAATATGTCCCTATAACTTGCTCGGTTATACACAGTTTGATGCGTCGTACGATTTTCTAGTGTTTGATTTCACTCGTTATTTACTCAAGTGCAGCGATAAGAACCATATCGCGTTTAGTGTAGTCTAGCAGGTTGCGTAAAACACTGATGTCTCTGACATAAACAAAACATCTGCGACTGTAGTTCGAGAAATATTCTTACCATTATGTTCTCTGAAAATTACATTCAATTGTGCTCTATGAAAAATATTTCCAAAAAACCTTTTATACGGTACATAAAATATAACCGAAAACAGGTTATTTATTACACTATTATTTACAAACACGGTTAAATTGCTGCGAGAAAGACGCATCGACCTTGTTTGCTTCCAAATTCCAAACAAATATTACACCAAAACACAACCGACTCCCCGACCCATAAATCACCATTAATTCACAAGAGAAGATATACATATGTGTTATCGAGAAGAAACGTGTCACTTAGTTACGATAGTAAAAGAGATTTAATTCGCAGCACTCGAATAAAGTATGCTGATTTTTATTTACTCTATTAGCATGTCAAAGTGTCCGAAACGAATCCGAAAAAACATTACACGTCAGATTCGCGTTCATTGTTTAATTATGCTAATCAACACGACACACATTTCTACCATCACTGTGAAATCCTTCTGCTTTTTCGTTCGTTTTCTAGTGTCAAAAAAACTTTACCGACAATATTTTCGATGTTGAACGATCATTCGTAAATAGACTTACTGTTAGGCTGAAAAGCTTCTGGCCATAACAAAGAAACGTTAACAAAACTGTTACCGTTGTCCTCATATATGATCAGCTAATGAAACACGCGACACTATACTAGTCTGTCATAAATGTACGTCACGGGATAACAAAACTACACTCCGAACGTCCTTTCAGTTCAGCGGACGAGGACAGACTGGACGGTGCCGGAAATCTCGACTATCCGGATGGGGACCACGCGACTACGTCATCGTTACACGATCCGAATGGTCCTGGCGAGGGTAGAACGAGCGAAAGGCGAAAATGCGAATCCGGGGATGAGAATCTGCCCGTGTCCAACGAGGACATGCCCGACCACTACATCTACGTAGCCTATCCACCAGAGCTAAAGCGGCGATTACTGGAGAGGTAAATAAAACCGGGATAATATCCAGCGAATCGACGCAGACCGGTGCATCGAAATCGTACAGTGATCCTCCTGCTTACAGCTGCTACAACAGAACCACTCGACTCTGAACCGACTCGAGGGATAGGAGGATAAGGGCAGAGATTCGATCGGGAACACGGCGAGCGGCTCGATCGATCACACACGTCGGTCCGATCTACTTTCTTATTTTTCGGCCCCCTAACCTTCGTGTTTTGTATACCAACTCTGGGAATAAACTGCAAGATGTACACGAAATGTTTGCGTAATTTCTTTGAACTTCCAATCTACACGGCATGAAATAATTCGGTTCTTCGAAATGGGATTCAATCTATGAACTCAATTTGTTAAGAGACACGGAATTTTGTAACCTTTCGATAACCAAATGATTCGTTAGATGAAAAATTCATAGATCACTCCTATAAGCGGAAAAATAACGTGTCTCGGGCAATAAACCTCCTATGATTCCTTCTTTAAATTTTATTTGAACCACGAAGACTCAACTCTAAAACCAGTAAGTCATTTTAATGGATCCGTCGGAGTCCCGTTGCGTGTCCATCACGCTTGACTGGCGAACCAACCGACGCACGCTTGCACCGCTAGGCCTCTGTTGTTCCTCCAAAAGTCTCTGAGGAACGGTAACCGGTGGTTCCGGTACCTCGTGCATCTCTACCGTCTCCCGGGCCGATAGATCCTCGTAGGAGGCTGCGGCGGACGAGGGTCTGGAAGGAGGAAAAATCGACAGAAGATAATAGATTATTCTATGATCAATTATCTGAACGCGAGTAGGAAAGCTAAACGATTCGACTGGAACGTTTACACTGCGATCGAAGTATGTAATTGGAGTTTGTAATTCGAATGACTTCACAGAAGTTTCTCAAGTGTTTAAAGTTCCACTGCTATAACAGGAGGTCCTAGGAATAGATAAGTAAACTTTATAGTTCCATTGATTCCGACAAGTTCAGGGTAAGAGGCTCGAATGACATTGTAGATAAAACGGAGGGGTTTGAATCGAAGATGGGCAAATTCATTATCCAGATAAACAGTTTCGAATAACGAATAGAAGATAAGAAAAAGTACTTCGTCATTTTGAATCGTTTAAACGTGGAAATTCCATTAATCTAATTAACCACTTACAGCTCAGAATGATGCCCTTAGATAGTATAAATAATTTGAATAAAATTGTGCCCAACTCTGACTCAACGCGAATGAAGATTTCGAATTCTGTCTCTAGATCGCCTATTAATGGCTCCATACTTTATTGGAACGCAACGGAAGCAGTCGGCACAAGTCCAATCCTTCCCGAACAGCTCTCCTTCTTCGACCGTTTGCGGTAATCGATGATGCAGCGTCTCGGGCAAACGGAGACCGGACAGTCCACCAATCACCGACACGCATCCCAGTATCACGAGGGGCAAGACCAAGTTCTCCTTACCCTGGAATGACGAAAATGACAGTGCGATCTTAGTGGGTAACGTAGCATGACCATGCGGTCACGCTCTGTCCCCTCCTCGATAAGAGCTTTATTTACGATCACTTACCAGATATGTAACAAAAGGAATGATGATAAGCCCTAGACCGCTGATGTACGCCGAGAAACCGATTGCTACGCCGCGCAATTGCGTGGGGTAAAGTTCACCGGCGAATGGATATATAATTAGAAAAGAGGCCGATATCGCGGATTTCGATAAAAGAAATAGAATCAGCGTGACCGCTACGGCGTCTGAAAAGGGAAACACCGATTAAAATCGTCGCACGCTATTAGATGATCATGCGGATGAGTTTTCTACGTGGATACCGATTGGATACCCGTTCGACGTAAACACAGATCTACATACAGCAGTTTGATGAAAGGGGTACAGTTGGCCTTTTTTTGTCTGGGGCAGTTACCATTATCTGTACTTGTCACTTCATAATTCTCGATCGAAGCTGTCTAATTATATTTACGATTGTTTAACGTTGCGATTAATTAACTATTAATTCAACGTCGCTAAATAACAAGGGGTGAATGCTATCTATGAACCGTAAATCGTTCTCTGTCTGGATGATATCGGACATAGTCGAAAGGATATAGTAAATCATCGATGAGTGTTAAAAGGCTCACCAGCGCTAAGTGTTCAAACGTCATCCCCACCACTGGGGGTCTCTGTGCATACAGTTAAACGCCTAGTGATGGGGAAGATGTTAGAAGACTCAGTGCCGAGAATCCGTCGAATACTTGTCGAGAATTTACTGTAGTTGATACACGTCATCGAGCTCAAAGGATCGGATCAATTAGGTGTGAAGTTAGAGTACCGGATGAGAGAAGAACGGTGGCGATACAAGAGACTCCAGCAACGACCATGCACAAACAAAGTGGCCATCGTCGACCCCATCGATCCATCACGACCCAACATGCCATGTAGCTGGGAATTTCTGCGAGGGATGAGAAGAAGAAGCTCAGATGTTCCTCGTTCCCTAATGCCGGCCCGTAATACGACAAACCGACGTACACCATGTTATTGGCAAACCTAGGAAACAACATAACTTTTCAGAAAGATTTTCGTGTTTCAGAGACCTATGTATCGTAAAATGGATAATTCGGATGGTATCGAAATGAATTTAATTTTGTTATGAAAACACGAAGTCTATCTAAATCATTTTACAGTTTTTATCTGCTGTTGAACTTTGGATGGTCTCGCGCAATGACAAGCAACAAACTAACTTTTAACGTAAACAGAATCGTTGTACCTATAGTGACGTGAAGTGTTTATGTCATTAATATCATTATCGGGTTCAAACATTATGATACATCATTAAGAAACTACGGAACATTTCGTTCCGTTAATTAATGAATAATTTGAACCAAGAAGAAGAACCGACAGATTACATCGAAGCTCTGTCAATAACGTTTTCAAGAACAATTCTCGATCTTAATTGCTACCACCTGAAGGATATCGGACACGATCATCGTGCGTTTGTCACAACAATCTGTCACCTCAATAATGGTCGGGTATCCTTTTTATCGGATTTTGTCGACGTTATCGGGCCACTTGAACTTTGATTTACCAATTTAAGGTGATCAAGCATGTCTTCAAACGCATGTTCGGCGTTTTGAAGAGAGAGAGAACGCCGGGCCCGTTGCGTAATCTCTCCTCTTCTCTTTCCCATTAACTTTCGCCAGGGTCTCGAGGATATCATTCGCTTCGACCAAGCGACCTTTCGCCAGCAGCCACCTTGGTGATTCCGGCAGGAACCTGAAATGATCTTGCACGTTTTTAAAAGGAATAACGTCGTGTAAATGACCGGAGAACTGGCCGGGATCTTGGCCCAGCCGAGGACAACCACTCACCACCAATACAACGAATATAAGAGAAACGGAGCGCTCGTAGTTATGGCTAGCGTTCGCCAGTCTCTTATCAAGTACGTTACGCCGGCCAGCATACACAGACCCATTGTATAAAAGCTGCAAGTCATTACCGTGACGAACGACCGATAATTCGGCCCGACAAGCTCCAGAGCTGTTACGGGAAATTAAAAATGAATTTTAGGAACCGTGCGCGTTCTGGTAAACCGGTGTTCCTTTCACTACGGTTTTAAATCGTTCTTACATATGATAAATGGTATTTGATAAATAGCCGGTATAGTCAAGCCCACGACAACGCGCGTCGCCGCCCATGTCCAGAAGCTGTTCGATATCGATGTTAGAAATCCACCTGTGATCAGAGTCGCCAAACAAGTGAAGAAAGACAGCCTCCTACCGATTCTAACGAAACAAATATATTTTATGAGACAATACGTATACTTGATTCAGAGAAAAATAACGAAGTCGATTACCTGTCGTTCAGCGTACCGAACAGATACACCCCTATAGGACCACCTGTGTTCAAGGCGACCAGGCCAATCGTTGGATAAATCGCATGATCGCAAACCAGATCGAACTGTAACGTTTCGAATTAAATATCAATAATCAGATTACAAAGGACGTGGTTGATTGGAACTAGTAGAAACACGTACGTCAATTACAATGGAGGATGTTATATCCGACATATCGTACTCCCAACCGTGATCACAGGGAACGACGGGCCATGATGTATTTGGCATAGAGAATGGTGCCGTCTCGACGGAAATATTTTCCGCTGTCCAATTGATGTCGTACCGTGTGCATTGACTGTACGTTTCGTTGTCGTCCTAATTACGAAATCGATTGTTAGAATGCGGTATCAAAACAGAATTCACTATTTGGAGTAGCTTTAATACTCTACCAATGATAGTGGACGGAAATGCAGAAATATGACAGGAATTCTTCGAAAATCAACGTTTTCTCGATGTCCAACACACAAGTGAGATGCATCAAACGGGATATAGTACAAGCACTGATACAGGGGATGGGTTTTACCAGAAGAACTCTATCTTCAAGTTGAATGCGTCAAATTGCAGACTACCTAGCGCATAGAAGCATAAAGGGTTGACTTTGGAGGATAATTTTTATTCTGAATGACTACCTATATAGAACTAATAAAATAATGAACATGATTGATGATGAGTTTCAATCATTTCCTTGCACCTGACTGGTTGGAATCGCGAGTCTTCGTCGACGGGATACATCCAGACTTTCCAAACCTGGCACTTTGCACCAATGGGGTGGCGTGTCGGCCATGAACAGTTGATTGAAGGCGCAAAATCCACACGGAAGACACGCCGGAAGACACACCAGCCAAAGAAGTTTCTTTTGATATCGACCGAACTCGCCGACAATCGGCAGGAGATCATCGAGATCGAAACCGTCCTACAATGTCAAACTCCTGTCTCTTAATCGCAGTGATCAACGAATCATTGTAAAAAATACTTTTTACGTACACCATCCGTATTGATCGATCGATAACGAACAATAAAAAAAAAAAAACAATAACGCATCGTAATTAATCATAATTCTGATTTGTTCTGATAACAGGAAACGAACAAGGCCAATTTCCATGGAAATGGTCTTGAAAAACAACTACACTGCCCGTTCAGTATTTTTCCGATGATTCGAGACGTTTATAATAAGGAATTCGTGGTATACTTAGTTATGTCAGTTGATTTTTAACATGCCTGACAAAGGAACCCTAACTATTTTGACTCTTCCCGATTCTTTGTTAAGAATACATGAGTGTTCCAGTAACAGCAGATGTGTTAGATGTTAAAAGATAATCTTCGTGTTTAATGGTCCCACACACAATTGGTATATAAAAATCAAACTGCCCCTGAATATTATGTGCAACTACAAGAAGCAATCTTTTCTATACGTATATTCAGAGGACTTACTTCATCGTCGACGTTCGACGTTTCCTTGGTGTTCGCAGGGTCCGCGGTCTGATAATCATCCAGGTGCTCCATTTTCGTGAACTTCGGCCCGCGTCCAGGCTACCGAAACGTCGGCGATACCTTAGAAAAGCGTTACGTGACGTGCATTAGCTCCCTTCCGTGGATGGTTCAACCAATCTGCCATTCGTTCCATCCTGGCGTGTCCTCGTTTTTCACCCTCCCGATGGTGAGAGTGTCCACCGTGGACCGGGTTCGGGGTGGTATAAGTATTTAGATAGTATTCCAGTTCTTGCAGCAGATTTACCGAGTTCTGGTAAGACACGAATCCAAAACTATATAATAAACGAGAAACGGACGTTGTCAGAGAAATCGACCGTAACAGCTCGACTAAGACGACCTTTCAATTTTGTTAATTCCACCCTTGACAATCGTAACACTAGTCACATCGTTCAAGAAAAGTGAAAAACTAAAGGGAGATTCCGTGAAGCGAGAGACAAATGCGTGACGATACAGAAAAGTATAAAAGAAACCAATGCGTCTCAATGATATACTGGTTCACTGTGTGGATTCTACTTTCTATGGAGAGGGATGAATTTAATGGGAATAATCGTAAGGCGCTGAATCGAGGCACTCAAGAATTTTGATGGCGAAAACACCGATATTGTTCATCTCCCGGATATAGTACATCAAGCACGAGACAAGGGCTTCTGTTCTAACACTCGAAAAGTCAACTCTGCCGCATACGCACTCGCGGCCGCTGCGTTTCACGCGCGGAAAAGAGAATCGAGGAAATGCAGGCGATAGCAGACTTTAGCGACGCGTGCCACGAGGTCTGCCCTTCTAATTCAATTGGGTTAAGGGTACTTAGAAGAGATTAGGAACACTGCTGACACATGCTGCGTGACGGCCGCGATTCATTCTTCGGTCACAACGCGTGACTTTTTCGCGTCAACGTGATTTAAATGTCGTTCGAACTTTCTTTCCAATATTTCGTCCTAATACCTCTATACTTGCCCTCTACAGAATTGCTCTTCCACACATCTCTATTCGTGTCCTTATATCGTTTGCTGGAGTACCGATCAGAAGTATGGTATTAACTTTTGTAGACTTTGAGCGTCTTCAACTGACTATTTTGATCTTTCTTTTAGTCTAATTGGAATGCTAATTGAAAAAGTGACTACTGATTAATGCTTGAGATATGTAAATATGCATTGTCAACTCCTAAGGTATTCTTCCTATTCCTCAATTTATACTGCGATACTGCGTTCAACGGTTGAAAGGCGATGGAAATTCTAGAATTTCGAATGTAATAATTTCTATTTTCGTACGGTACTGAAGATCACGAGAATTCTCTGTATCACGAAGCATACGGCTTCGTCTTGATCCGCGCTAATCCAATTAATGAAGTGAAAGACTAATCGGGGGAATTGTGAAGTTTCGCGTCGACCGGATGTTCAAAGTTTAACATCCAATCGAACGATGAATTTCTCGCGTATCTTTCGCGATTATATTTTATCGTGGTATCGGTACCCCGATGGGTCAAGGTGAACGATTCGTCGAAAGAAGGAAGACGAGAGAGAACGAGCTACGGAGGCTCGATGCAAGAGCGACGACTGGTAATAATGGCATCACTGCGTGTGTACAGATTCAAATTGAATTTTATTCACGGTCAATTAGCTTGGTTTGGTTTTTCTGTTTCATTGTTACTTTTCTCCACAAAAAACGAACGAAAGGATTCAGCGAAAAAACAATCATAAGGAAGCAATTCGCATTTCCCGCGGATCAAATCTTTCTGGGACGAAACGATCTCGGTTTTACTCTCGGTGTACAGATATCGGGAACCGAGAACGTTATGCAGCTAACGCATTTAATATTTTCATTACTGTTCCTTCGTTTGATATTTTCTGTTTTTTTTTATCTTTTTGTAATTTTTTCATGCTTTCATCAAGACGACGAATTGAAGGTTGCGATGTATATAGCAGTCGAAATTATTTCGATATCGTATGGCACTGACGCTTGGCGATTCGTATAATCGGTCTTACTTGCACACACTGGACAGGGTACACTCGGCCACATTAATGTTTACGCGCGAACCGATTAACGTGCCCGTAAACAGATTCGCGCGGAACGTTCCCGCGATAAGGAATCCGCTTAACAGGATAAGAAATTAATTGGCTGAACGAGAGAGCAGATCTAAGAGAAACGTGTTTTGATCTGGATCCGCCTTCTTCGCGAGCCGCGACCTTTGAATTTTGTGTTTAATCGACGAGATTTCGTCGAAAATGAATTCCTCTTTCCTGCCGTGTTTTCTTTTTGCATGAAATTCCACGGGAATCATGGCATTAATGTGACCAATTATACGTTTGAACACACTTCTCAAAAAGGAATCGTCTCCCAGTCATTCCACGATCGCTCTGCCACTCAGATTCAAGCGATATATAGCCGAAGTCACATAGTCGTTGTCATTTAGAAAATCTTTCACCATGAACACAGGCTTTATTCGCAGACCACACGACTCTGACGCAAACCGAAAAGGAAACAGAAATACGGTTAGACATCTCGCACCGGTACGTGAGTATGCCACACCCTCTCCTCTTCCATGATTTACTTTTTTCTTTTCGTATAGTATCGAAACGGTTCAGGACAGGTTGAAAAGGTAAGCCCGCCTGAGATCGTTCCGTAGAAATCTCCTTCGATAGCAGAATAAAGCGTCTTCGTGATTAGTTACGATTTTGAGCGTTACACCCCCCTTGCATCGCATACTAACTTAAGAATGTCTCCCCTCTGTAAGGAAGAGCCATCCTCGATCTCGTATCGATAAGAAAAATAATCTGTCGAGTGCATCGAGAGGCATCTTCTTGGCGATCGCAGTGATTCGTATGAGTTATACCATCGGACAAAAGTATGGGACCAGATAAAATAATATATTGCGCAGGATGGGTCGACGTTAGATGCTTCTACACCACAGAACAAATCAAAATGCTAGATTAAATTTTGTAACAAATGAAGAATAAGACTTTCAAAATACAGTAGATGTAACTAAAATTTGGCGAATGGAAGTTAATTGAAAATTTTTACTTAACATTAAAATTTGTTTTTAAATTCTGAGACTTTCACCTTCGGACGACAGTCCAGGTAGTTCCCTATTTTTGATCGGCAGTGCGCGTTCAATTTAGGATACATAAGATCATTGAACGATACGAGAGTAGGCCTTAGTTGGACAATTCGTTTTTTTTCTCAAGATCCCGATTCATAAGGATGTTTTCGATGTGAATATCGAGCGATAGGGAAAAATTGGAGAGGGTGAGCAAATTACATATTGCAGGCGAAACAGGACTCCCATCATCCAACACTCGTCGTTTATTCTTTCGTTCTTTCTTCTTTTTTTTTGTAGTTTTTTCTCTTGCTTGTTTCCACCCTCGTTTATAGTCCCAATTGTTCACATGCGTAAATCATAAATCGTTGGTCCGATCGTCGATCGGCAGCACTCGACAGCAGCATTCTCTCCGCATCGCCACAGGTAAATTCAAACTCACACGCTCGATTTTTCCTTCCTTCCTCTTCTTCTCACTCTCTCTCTTTTTTTTTTTGGTATTTTTTTTACTTCGTTTCTATGTTTTCGTTTTTTTTGTATGTTTTTGCTTCGTTCTTCAGTATTTTTGTTTTGTTTTGGAATCACACGGTACGCACGGTAATGGTGATCGATCCGCCCGAAATCGAAGAAAAATATCGAGGATCATCAACCATATCATACACTCACATATACACGAGTAGGCTACACGCACGCGGTCGTCGATCCTTCCACGCTTTCCACCATTACCGTGCGAATCTCTGACGCTTTGGAACAACAACAGCTCTATACGCGTTGGCTTCGTGTTTCGCGACTCGATCGTTTAAAAAATATTATCGAAAATATTGTCTCGTACGTACAACGGCACCGCGGTCCCGAGAATGAAAGAACGAAGACAACTGTGTTTAGGGGCAGGCCGGCGATATCGCTAAAATCTCTCGAAAAATAATTCGTGCGTGGACATTTTATCGTACATTTCAACTGTTTTATTCTGTACATACTTGGAACGTTTCTTCTTCCTCGTCTTCCTTCATATTCGCTCTATAAATTGCTTAAAAGATTTCAACGACCGCCGGACCTGGATTACGTTTCCCTTTAGTCGCGTACAGTTCTCCGAGCTTCAAACCGCGTCACGATACAAAATTTATATAACTTTTTTCATTTATTTCCGTTCTTTTGCTTCTTATTTTCGTTTTTATTTACTTTTCACTTTACAAGTCGACGATTCGTCCCTTTCCCGTGAATAATGTCGCCGCAATGCACAACGACGAATCACGAGCCAACTTCCTCAACATCCTTCCATCACAAAAGATCCTCTCTCTCTTTCTCTCCCTCTTTCGTCACCAATTTCTCACTCTCTCCCTTTCATACTCTGTTATTCTTTGTTCTCTCTTTCTCGCCACACTCTCGCAATCGATAGAGCACACACCATCATGTAAAATTGTGATTTACTCGATCACAGCGCACATCATCACTGATACAGCGTAATGCAGACGCCTTTCCTCCTTTTAATAATGCTTATATACCTAATACGCTCTCACGTACGTTCCCTATGAAGCATCGCACGCACTCTAGGAGTCTCGACGATGAAAAGGCTAACAACTAATAGTTCGATAAGTATATTATCATGTATGAGTTTATTCATTCAGGGGGCGCGGTTCCGGGCGATCCTCCGAACGTTGTAACGCGATTTCTGTCACGTGTATTTAACAATTTGCTACTGTTCATCGTTTCACGTACAAGTCTCCCCGAACTGGCAAGAATATAAATATTTATAATAGAAATTCTCCGATGTCTGTGATTAGGAAGTTTGACGTTGTACAGCACAATGCACACGTGTGCATATATTTCTTGCAGGTTGTAAGACACATTTTTTATCGTATTTCGTTAAGACTATTGTTCGAGTACACGCGAAGTGACAGTAACGGCGCCACCACCTCAAGCTTCTCCGTAAACATTAGGAAAGTCCCGATGATCTCGAGCAACAGTGTAAGTGTGCGCGTTAGGCTAGATCGAGTACGGACCCGACTCGTTTTACCGGTGAATAGACAAAAATAATTACCATCGGAGGAGCGAAATCGGTGGGCGCTCGAGATCACGAGCACTTCGACGATCATTCGAGGATTAAGAGATCACACGCCAGAGACACGACGAGAACCGCCCGGTAAGAAACCGCGCGCCCCATTTTTCAAGGTAGAACATCGACCCCTCGCACACGAGAGTCTCTCCAAAAGATCACAGTCGCGTATATAATATAATTTTCTTTTCTTTTGTAGTCTTCTCATCTCACTTCGCTCACTCATTTACTTCGAACACGGCACGACCGGCGTTTCGTTTCCTAGTATCTTCTCTCTACCTCTTTGGGACCCTCTTTAAACGAATCCCTTCTCTCACTCTATCTCTCTCTCTCTCTCTCTCTCTCTCTCTCTCTCTCTCTCTCTCTCCACGACACCTACTACTATTCCATTTTTTCCCTTTTCAGTCGCCCTAAGTAGGCTTCTTTCTCCTCTGTCGGCAGACCTGATAACCCGTGATTCGCAAATGATTCCTCAGAAATACCGGGATCAATTGTAACACACCATTGTTGCTGTTCCCCACGACGAATTGGATGACTTATCCCTCGATTGACTTTTTCAACATTGTTCAACGAACAAATTACAGGGGGATCGTGTACCACACGTCAAAAACGGAATCCTTGAATTGATTTGCGAATCAGAATCACAGGCAAGAGCGATCAAGTTCTTATGCAGGGCGTGAAAAAAATACTCGCAACGCTGTCCTCTCCGTCGTGGTTTCTCTCTTGTTCTCTCTCATTTCTCACTTTCAAATTCTCACTTTCTCTTCCTTTCTCTCCCCTTCGTTCTCGTTCACCCTCTCTCTTACTCTCCTTCTCTGAATATTCTCTGCTACGTGGAATGTAAAATAAAAAAGGATACTTTGCGCCTCGGCATTTCATTCTTTTCGGTTCCCCTTCTTTCTGTTCTCTCTCTTGTCTTTTCTTTTTTTTAGGGGGGGGGGATTTGGATTCACACCGGTGAATCTACGGGGTTCAGCGAGGACAGTGTATGTGTATGTGTGTGTGTGTGTGTGTAACGTTTTCGTCTGATCGCGGTACAAGACAAAGCTCTTTCGAGGAGGTTTCATGTTTATTTAGTGGAAGACACCGTGTTTCCGTCAGATGGAATTTCGGGTTCAGGATCCTCCGTCGATGAGAAAAATGAAACAATACGGCGAATTCGTGCGCAAAACGGCAAAGAGATCAAGGTTTTTTTTAGGCTCCAGTCTAACCACCAGCGGCTCACCAAAACGATTATTTTTCCTCCCACCTCCCCTATACCGCTTTGTTGTTTTGTCAAACGTTTAAAAACTAGATCGACTTCTTTTTCATCCCTTACACGCTAAGTTTGGCAATATCGATCGTTAACAGTAAAAAAATTATATATGTATATATATTTATTTATACTTAGACGTGGAGCAGAGACTCTGTTTTCTTTCTCGATATGTAAAATTGTAAAAAAGATAATCAATTTAATAAAAACTCTTTCCTTTGTATTCTCTTTTTTTCCCCCAGTTTAGTCGTCCCACAGTCAATTCCCTCGTTTTTGTTGTTTGGTTGTCTGTTGTTATTACGCCAATGTACTTTGTATCCCATCGCTGTTCTGGTATTTTTCTTTCTTACGAAACACGTTCGCCCCGTTCTTTGGCTGAACCTCCTGGCGATTACTAACAACAATTCCATCTAATCGCGTCTCGACACTTAAAAGCGTGACATGAACGAGGCGTTCCCAAAGAAAAAGAGAAACACGTAGAAGAATTAAATCGCTACAAAACGATCGAATATCTCGAAAGTGTACGGGTCACAGTATGTGTTTCCGCTGGCAAAAGTATTTGGAATGCATGGCACTACCAGAGCCACGTTTCGAACCACGTGACGTAACTTCGTTTTGTATTATTAGAGTGACCGACCACACCGTCCGTTTAATCTTTCACGTAAAATGTTGCTAAACGACCACGGCCACCTAACTACTCTTAGAACAGAGTCCTAGCCACACAAACATTTGAATATGAACAAGAAATGAAATATCGTAGAATTTCGTGTACGCGAACGATCCTGAGATGTCCCCAATTCGATTCTAGGACGTCCCAGGACGTCAACAGCACATGATAACAGGATAATATTTGTGTGCATGAAAGGAAATGGTATTCTGAACTGCTGTAAACCCTTGTTCGTCAAAGAGGCATCTGACATGATCTAGACTAAAGTCCGAGTTTCAAAGGGTAAATTCGTCTATTCAGATTTGATTTGTATCGCGAACCAATCGTATTCTTTGATTACCAGACTAGGTTATATCGATAATCTTTCTCGTTCGACAGGGTTAGCCGATTTACGCGATCACCGTAACAGCCGCTTACGATATCTGACCAATATTCTACAAAAATTGTTAGATGGATTTTCGATACTCGCCCTTCTAACCAGGAGGCCAGGAAGATTTATTCCCAAGACAATATTCTTGATCGATCCTCAAGCATTGATAGGAAAGTAAGAGAAATGTTCAAAAAATATGGTATCGTCTCGATAATGGCAGTGTGAAATGTTCTCATTCTAATATTCCATTTTCGTTGGTAATGCTTATTCTTGACGATACAGTGATCACGTGAAATCATTCTACTCGCAAGACTACGTCTACATAGGGGGTAGTTTGGGGGCTGGGCACTCGATCGTTCAGTCGTATGTTGTTCGTGTTTTTTTTTTTGTTCTCGAACTTTCGTCAGGCCGAACGAGGACTTCGGTACAACTCAATAACTTATGCCAGCAAAATATTAATTTTAATGAATCAACAGGAACGGACATTCACATACGGGTAAAAATAACATACTCATCATCATACTACAACTGATTCATTTCAATTCTCGCGCAGCACGATCGGACCAGGGGTCACCAGGTTTCATCGGACCTTTCCGAGCATTTGGCAGTCACTCGACCATCCATTTCTATTCAATCCTCTCTCTCTCTCTCTCTCTCTCTCTCTCTCTCTCTCTCTCTCTCTCTCTCTCTTTCGAGCACAGCTCACTTTCTCACGAAACTCGGTTGCATCGGCATACAACAGTCAGCAGCAGCATCTCGACAACCATTTAGTAGTATTTTCGTTTATTCGCCTGATTGCAAATCACGCCAACAACCATTCGACAAAACGACATTATTCCTTCGATTTCTCCAACGAGCGATGCGATCGTTCAAACGAGAAATCGAGAAAATCATAACACGCTAAACGTTGACGAGCTTTAGGCGGCTAAAGCTCGCAACGAATCAACATAATTTACTCTCACCCAGACTCGAACGTCCTTTCATAGTGACAACGATTTTATTTATACGACACTCTATCTAACTATCGTTCTCTCTTGCTCTCTTACATACATACATACATTTTTGAAAAAAAAAATGAACATGGAAAGAAACATTCTCCCGTTCAATTATTCCTCAGACTTTCAGCTTCGCAGTCTCTCTTGGTCTCCCTGTCGCATTCTGATGTCTCTCATTCTTTCGTGTCCTCTTCCGTTCATCCCTTTCTCTCCCTCTCTCTCTCTCCCTCTTTCTCACTGGCCACGATCACTGTCCATCGAAGTCGTCCTTTCCCTGAGGTTCAACTTCTCAATCACGCGCGGGTAGAAGCCCCAGGCTCGTTATCAGGCATACTTGCATCACCGGAACACCTCGGACAGGCTTCGGCCTTGGCCTTCATTCATCGGCAACATCCACTTGCACTCCTCATCATCCGTGGTTCTCGGCATCCGGCAGGCAGACAGGTATATCATTTATATTTTTTTTTTTGTCTCGACCAATGGGCTGCGCTCAGGCGCCGGTACTCGAATACCGTCGCCAGACAGGGACACGTGCAGACTCATCACCCCATCATCGTCATCGCTTCGGAACGCTCACGCACATCCATCAACTCGCATCCGCACCATCCAATCTTGTTGTCTTTGTATTGTGTTTGATAGCTTTCTAGTCAAATCAAATTGCACGACAGTACAACCGTGGGGTGATCTGTAAACAACAAAAGCGAGCCAAATATCAATAACCGTCGCTCACCGGTATAATTATACTTTTGTAATTTTTTTTGCTTTTAGATGGGCTTTTTTCTGTCGGACGGATGCCTATCAAGAATGATTACAAAAGCAGATTTGGATTTAATACCAATTAACCATATCACGCCCACCCACCGCGCGTTTGTTTCCATGTTACTTTGCCGTCAATGCCCTATCATGCGCCATTGATGATCTTTTACGAGGCAACGAGCACATTGTCAATACGAAAACATATCATAAAGCGGAAAAGGGTACAGAGTATGGATGAATTAAGCGATTAATAAATAATGAATCGATACGAATAAAAGATGAGTACATTCACCACACATCGTTCACACGAAAAATGGTTTCAATATAACGAATATATAGGAGAAATAAAATGTTACTCACCAACTGGACCTTGAGTTAGTAGCATTTTGAAGTTTCCGAACCTCTTTAGAGTCTACCATTGGCAATAATTTTACCCCGAACACCGTGACTAAGTCACCGAGCAAGCCAACAGAGGCCGATATGTTACCTTCCGAATGTTCGCGATCCTGAGCTATCGTGGTAATAAACTGAATGATGAAAGGTACGTGTGGCTCCACGAGGGCAACCGCAGCGTCCGATCCAGGATTCGTAGCATCGCCTCTGAGACCCTGCACTATGCCGGTGTATGCCTCGAGGACACCCTCCCGGAGTTCGTTCAGGTAATCGATCATATCGTAATCGCTCCTGTCGACGGTCGCTTGCGAGGCTTGCGTCAACGTTTGCAATACTACGTCCAAATATTTCTTGAATTCGGGTCCGATACTGAGAGCAATATCACCGAAAACAGAGAAAATTTGTGGTTTCACGGAACGGTGGACCGTGTTATTACCAAGGTTCTCGAGCAACAGAGTCATGATCTCGTCGCAGTAAGGTAGCATTTTGTTCTTCAAAGCTCGGCAAATGTCGCCAGTCAGACCGACAGCGGCGCAACAGACTTGGTATTCTGCGTGATTTTTCAAACCGAGGAAGAGGTAAGGCTTGAAAGCATCCATGTACTTGAGGAAACCATCTCCCAACACCTCGACCAAGGTACATACAGCCATAAGAGCATCTTCCTGGACACCTTCAGCTTTGCACGAGTTCGAATTGAACATGGATAATAACGCCGTCATTATTACGTCTGATATTTGAGGGGCATCCTCTGGAGTAACTTTACGTAGTACGGATTGCAAAGTGGCACAGAGCAACGACTGCAGATCGTTGTACTGTGCCCGATCGGAGTGTGTCTGGATATGTGTTTCCATCTGCAGTACCTGCTGCAACCTCTCCAAGATCACCATAGTCGTCTTCTGCACGGTTACGTAACAATCGCGGGGAGAGTTCTTGACCATCTCCATTAAAGCCTCATACGCAGCAGACCTTAAATTCGCTTGAGCTCCATCGGGACGATCTGTCGTTTCTAATAGTCTTTGGACGATGAAATCGAAATATTGAGACATGCAGTAAGTCTCTGGTTGTGACCCACGTTCAGACGCGTCCGCAGACTCGTAACTGGCTTCCGCCAATCCCGTAAACGCCCAACAAACGTTTGCCGCCACACGTGGCTCTGCTTTCAAGCCATTTATCAGAGCTTCTAGCAGAGGTTTCAAGTACGTGTCGTTGATCGCTGCTGCTGGTATAATCTCGCAGATTCGACCGAATGTCCATGCAGCAGTGTCTCTTACAGCGACGCTGCTGTCATACATCAGTTCGATCAACGTTGGCATGGCTTGTTCTACCAATGGTTTTACAGTTCCAGGATCCAAGCCACCAAGAACCGATCCAAAGGCCATTAAAGCAGCGTCCCGATACCTCCAATCTGGACTCTTAATGTTATCCTTCACGAATGGAAGAACAAATGGAACAATAGCCCCTTCACAACAAGAAGACAGTAACATCAAACACACTCCGGCTGCTTTAGAGGGATTCCAGTCATCTTCATCGTCAAATTCTTCTTGCTTGGTTAGTTTTTTCATCAGAACTGGTACCAAATACTGCAGTGCTCCCTTCGCATAATGCCTTGATACTTTTACAGGTGGTCTCCCTCCATCTGTAGCTTCTCCTTCTTCCATGGATAGATCTACCTCTTCGTCCGATACATTTGACCAGAACTCAATTCCTTGTAGTGCAACTTCATCTATGTCTGATTTCATAGCTTCCAATGTAATAGGAAATAGAGCTGGCGCCATATAAGGCTCCATGAACTGATAATACAAGGACATAATTTTCACAAGACACTGTAAAGCAGCTACTTTAACTTGAGTGTTCAAGGATTGTGTTGCTTCACACACTACTTCCATAATAAAGTTTCTCTCCCTCTGTAAGTACAAATGATTGTATTAAATAATAATGTGCTACACCTTAAAAAATTAGGTTTCCTTGATACTAACCTCTATTTCAAAATTCCCTTTTGTAAATTCTAAAGAGTTGTAGAGTGCACTTGTAGCTGCAAGACGAACGTGATTCGAAGTACTAGACCCATTCATGCCATGAATAATTGCTGTGAGAATTTGATTAGACTGAGGTACCAAAACATCACTTTCTATTTCCTGACAAATATAACCAATGGCTTCTAATGTTGCCTCCTTCATTATCTCAGTGCTGCCTGGATTCGCAACATTGTTGACTAGTAACTGAATAATATCACCCCACTGTCCAACAGGTAATTCAGCAACCGCAACGTATGCGACACATTGGGCCGCTGAACTTGGCCTGTTGTTCTCTGTCCCAAGTGCTCCCAAAATCTATTGAAAAACCGACATATTATCCCACCTATGCATTACATTTGAATTCGAAGGAATATTTAATTCCACGAGTGATTTCTTACATTTTTCTTGATAAATTCCCTGATATCTACAGGAATTGCAAGCCAACGTTGCTGATATTGATATTTCAACTGGGTATCTTTGGATGTGAGTTGATTTTTGAGTTGTAGACCTGCTGCCATACGGGCAACTGGACTTGCAGCAGCCGTAACCAACACCCCACTGAGTCTTTGCATGAACTCATGCTAAAAATATTGTACGCAAATCACAGTAATTCTTAAACACTCTATTACCATCATTCAAAAGCTTTTATCAAAGTGATTAGATAACTTACAAGACTAGCTTGTGCTGCTTGTTCCAGAAAATTCTGAGCTGCTTCAAGCTCATTTTTGTCTGAAATCGCAAATACAGGTAAGGCTAACTAAAACTATCGATAATCGGGAGAAATAACGCCTCAATATATTCATATCAACTGGAGAGGTTAGACAAGCACGATGCATTGATACTCGCCGTGCCAACCGACAACGGGAACGTGCGGTTTGAGTAACCGTCACATGGGACAATACTTTTTCTGTCGCGAACAAAGCCCTTAGCAACAGCCAAACGGAAGACAATACGGCATATTGTCGTTCAAACATGATATTCAGACGAAATACTAACGTTCTGTTTCCAGGAATTCCCATCAAGTCGCCGAAAGTACAAACTAATGCGTGATATCGAGTACTATACAGATATACTGGACAGAATACAAAAGGGACGCGCACGCGGCGGGACGACACTTTTTCCGGCAAGGTCGTGAGTACGAATGAAGAACGATCGTCGACTAAGCGGTATTAGTACCTTTCGTGTGACAAGATCGAATGCAAGGTCAAAGAGACCCAACAAATGACCGAGAAAAATTAGTCTCGGTTTCATATGATGTCGCCAATCGGAGTATGATTAATCAAACCGCACTTACCTGACGAGACGGTCCTTTCGAGGACTTGGATCAGTTGCACCGTCGTTGGATCCATCTGCATGATTTCGGCTTTTGGTTTCAGCTGATACCGTTGCGATACGTAACTTTTATACGCTGATACGAAACGTCTCCTTGTCACGACCGGCGGACAGCCACATGTAGACACCACCGAATCAACTGGCTCAACGATATACCCCCCTTCTACCCACTTCCTGCCAGTGCTCAGTTTCTGCTTCCTTCCACAACGTGCCGCGCAGTAATATCCGCACTCCTTTGATTTTCTCGCGCCCACCACACACACCCGACTCTTTTGATGGTCGAAACGAAACGATAATATGATTCACTTACGTTTCCCTTACTGGTTCAGTAACGTGGTTCAGACTTCAGGCGGTTAGGTTCAATCCCGTGAACGATGCAAAACTACTGTCACGAGTGTCAAGTTTCTCCTAACGCGATCGTCGTGTCTCCTCGAGCGCGGACTATTTTCTTTGTGCGATCTGCGAATTTTGTTTCCCCGCATGCGCATTCGATTCGCGAACGCCATCTGTCAGCTCAACCAGCGCCCTGCGCCTGCGCATTATTAATAACCATTATGCCACGAATTTTGAAATTGTATACGCTTACCATCTGCACGCCTTCACGCGATTTCCATTCACACGCTCACTTAGCACGTGCCACAAGCGATAGATCATTCTTTCTAGAAATTATTCAATTTCTCGTCGATCGATTATCTACTTCCGATGTATGTTCCTCTACCTGAATAAGAAATTTTTATAAGTATTATGGCATCTGTAAGAGTAATACATGAATGTTTTTTTTTTCATGTTCATTTCAATTTTTCTGTAATAAATGTGTAAAGAATCAACTTAATAAACAAATATTTTAATTGTTAAATAAAGTAAATTTTATACCTTGATTTTTTGCAAACACAAGATGAAAGTTACACGTATATTTTAGGGACAGAATTATACATACATGTACATACATACATATACATACATACATATATATACATACATATACCATAAGAACTTGAGGTATAAAACTGGTCTCCAGTACCAGGTGCAGTTTATGCAAACTTGTTGGGCCCCTACAACCGTCAGATTCCCTCGGGACTATTGAATAATCTCTTGAATAGCATTCCATCGTACACAGCCACCAAGGAAGATACAATGTCTTGAAAACCCGTCGAGCTTTGAAGAAAGGAGGAATCATCAGTTATTTTAATAGATTTAATGAAACGATATACAGAATACATTTGCTTTCGTAATGCATCGCAACGCATCGTCCGCGTGCCTTACCATCTATATCACATGTCAATTTCTTTTATTTATAAAATATAATGGTCATAATGTTTTTTCGCACGTCATGCCTTTGAACTGCTTTTTATATATTTATATTTCTATATTTATAAGTATGTATATATATTATATTTTATTATATTTATATATTATTCAAGCGAGAGGGATCTGTGTGTGTGTGTGGCTCGGCACAGAATTATAGCGAATCAGGCTGCGAAAATCAGTGAATGTGCACGCGTATAAACAACACGAGGAAATTATATTACAATATTAAGAAACTTTTGTTGAATATATCGACGGTCGTAGGGATGAAAAGGCCGATGATGGGGAAACTTGCCTTGCAATTCCTTTTATTGTCGTCGCCGAAACGGATGCAAGGAGAACACAGTGATTGATCGGTTAAGGATCATTGGCGAACTAACGATCGATTTCGATCAGCACCACCTTTTCAATTGTACGGCCGTCAATACGTTGACAATCGATCGATATTATTTATCCATTCACGTTATATTTTCCTCATTAATTACCCTTTCTTCGTGGTTTTCGTTACGGAAATGCACGCGATTATTGCATCGATCGGTACATTTCGAGGGAAGGTTCGGATACGATTACTGTTTACAAATGCTTCCCGCGTAGTGGATGATCGGCAGTTTCGCCAGAACGTCATGTGGATACATTTCCCGTATAGAAATATATAAATGTTACTTTTGGTGCAACGTCTACAATTCCTGATGTGCGAATGCTTGACAATCGTGCATTCATTGGTACGCTGTACCCGCAGATATTCGTACGACAGAGCCACGGATCGATCGTTGTAGAAATGTCCGTACGAGAACGAGAAATCCGCCACTTCAGTCTTCATCTTTTTTCTTTTTTATTTCCCTTGACAATTCTATGAGATTTGAATGGGGAGGAGAAATCATTAAGAACGATACAAAAACGAATGTCTGTTATGTATTTTACCCTAGGCAAGAGGAGAACGATCTTCGAATGTGTACGATAACGCAGTGGCTGATCAAAGAAATCATTTTTATTCAACAAAATAACTACGATAAAAAAGAAGTGATCTCATCCGTTGATTGAACATTTATTATTACATCGAGGGAAGAGGACAGTACACCTAACGGAATTGGCCGTTTGTTCGTTACAGCGATGACAATTAATTAGGTAACAACAATAATCGGGACGATCCCTCGTTCTTCATCGAGATATTTCTACAGCTCCGAACGATCCGAGATATCTTCTCTCTCTTCTCTATCCTGTCTAATCCATCTCGCTTTTATCTATTTTTATGTCTTTCTTTTAAAACTCCCTTTCAACGGTAGAAAGGAGCGCGCGAAATTACACGTCGTAGCGTCGTAGAAAATAATACATCGTTAATTAGTGCAGAGTCCGGGACAGATCCAGCATGATCAAAACCAGAACACGTTAATCACGAATCATTTGTTTCCGCTCCAAAAGGGGATCAGAAACGATCGTGAGGCGTCCTTCAATTTTCTTAAGTAATAGGAACGAAAATACCCATTTTCCATTTGCTCGCGATAGGGCATGAAACTTAAGAACACTCGAATTCATTAAACATTCGTTAATTGGAATTAGTCTAATAGCACCGTTCAACTTGACGAATTCATGATGTTGCCGCTAAATCTCTGCCGGATTCCACACGATCTACACACGCGGTAAGAAGCGACTGGCCCGTTTTACGTTGCAAATACAAAAACCACTCTCGCTAATTAAAAGTTTAACGATCCTTAATTACACGAATCGAAGACACACGATCGGACACCCGTAATTCCGGACCATTCGCTTCCGCCGCGCTGGCCTCATTTTCGACCGAGAGGAACGCGTCCGATTACGCCTCCCTCTCGGACATTCTTGTACCTTGCTTTCTTGCCGGGCATTTTGTTCTTGTTCTCCGAACACCTGCGATATCGTATCCATCCGCAAACGTTTCTCACCTGCCCGATGAAACTCTCGTTCCACACGGAGATAAGCGTTCGCCATCCAAACAAATCACAAACTTTTTGGTCAAACAGTCCAAAAATGGTTAAATTCAATTTACACGCGTCGTCGATCCCTGGATAAATTAAGTTCCCCGCCCTTTCCTCCGTGTTACTCGTCCGGTAACGAGAGATCGGTACTTACAGGAAGGTTAGGGTAGTAATTACAAACAGCACCGAATGAACAGTATAAAATAAAAGATCGATCTTTCGAAGGAACCATGGTTTTACGCAGAAATCGAAGAATAACCATCCCGAACTCGCGATCGATGATCACATCGATCACGGGTCGAGGACGTACACTCACGAAGCGTCGAACATTTGCGGATACACACGGCGTTAGATTAACGTATACACACGTAATTACCTTATACATATTGTGCACATAAATATATTTCAACGTGTTCTGCCTCTCTTTATGTGAACGACCGCGCGTGGGAGGCCGTAGGTACTCTCCGATAAGGTGCATCCTAAAGTTAATGCTGCGTTTGATGCTGTACTTTTACGCCGACAGGTGACATACGACAAGAGGATATGGCGGCCATTTTGATGATTCTTCCAGAATCGGTTTGAACGACGACCAATAACTTATCGGCGACGTCAGCACTCTTGGTGACAAATACGGACGATCCTATGGCTCTCCTCGAATCGTGTTGATTCTGCTTCAAGTTTCTTCCTGTGATTTCGATCTGGATCCATGGATATTGGAGAAATTGCGGCGGAGAGTGCTAACGTTCGACGGGTGATTCTTACGCATTAGGCGGACAATGGTAACACAAGGTGCTGGTAAGAAGGTAGCAGATGGTAACAGTGGTAGTAGCGGTAGTAAACGCCGTAAGATCGTAACGCCCGAGCGTTATGCTGTAATAAGTAATAGTAGTAGGTAAGTAGTAAGTAAATAGTATAAGTAGCAGCGGCGCGGTATACGTATAAATAGGACTTTCTACGTTAGTTTGTTTAAAAATAAATGTCATAACGTAATAGGTAACTTTATGCCGGACCCGTCGCTGCTCCCTGCCGACGACGACGACGACAACGATGACGACGATCACCGTTCATCGTCCCGAACCCCCAGCCCCCTCCCCGTCTTTCTACATTCCTGTACATCGGTTGCCCGTCGGCAGATCGACCAAACCAGAGTCCTCTGTTTCATTCTTTCGTTTTTCCCTTAGCTCTCTAAAATCACATTAACGCAAAAAGTAGTGGTAATTGAGCCGAGCGATCCCGGCCGCGTGACTCGGAAGACACTCACACGTTTCCAATGATACTAAATCTCATGCGATCGAGAAGGTTTACGGGCGGAGGAAGAGAGTCGGGGAGCACCGGTTTAGCCTCAGAGCTTTAAATGACACGCGTTCTCGAGCGACTATAGACGTGTTAAGGACATAAATGGCAAGGATTCGGTCGACAGTCGTTTAGCATCATCGCGACGTTCGAGTGTGGTCATCACAGTCACGCCCTATGCTCTTCCGTCGTTGCTCTCTGATATGTTCCGAGTCGTCAATTGCGTTTCACTTGCTCCTCACCCACGGATAAGTACATTTTATTTCAACGTTTAGAAGAGAATCGATATCTTCCTGCCGGATCATCGAGGGATGCACCAGCGATGGAATGAAACGTAGCGTTCGTTGACGACGTGGCGACGTATACAAAGTAGGTAGAAAAGTGATAAAAATTCGTGTATATATTTTTTTCTTTCTTCAACGTTTTCCTTTGTGCACGCTTGCGAGAAATAGACGAGTCGCCAGTCTCTCGGAAAGCTCCATCCATTATGTCGACTGTACTTGCTTAGGACTCTAGACGCAAGAAGGGTGAGCGGAACACCGTTGCCTCACTCTGTCTCTCGTCAAAAGGAGATCTACCGTTTGTTCCGTCGCTGTCCCCGAGAGGGGTACTACCTCCTCCATGATCCGCCAACAATTTGGTTCGACCTTCATTGCTTGGACTTTCGATAGCAAGAATAGTTATTACATCGTATAAGTTTTAAGGTAATTATAGCGGTAATAGTAGTAGTAACAATAGTAACAGTTTGGGCAGCGAGACTGGCCCGTCTGGACACATCACGAAATCACGCGCCCGAACATTCATTCACATACCTATATCTCTCCCTCTCACACACGCTCACAGGGAACTTTGTCTTAAGTTTAGCGTCGCACAACGTCTTCCACCTGGTCCACTCACACTCACACGTCCATCTGTTTCGTCATCTAATCAGACGACTCACACACACACACGACGTACAAACGTATCCAGCCAGGGAAACGAACGTCGTAACCTGGTGGTGGATACGACGTTCGTCGAGAACCGTTCAAGGACACACGCCAAGAAGATAGTAAAATACTACGTGTACGTTTTTTAGAACTTAAGGAAACTTAATCGGTGTACGCAACCGCACGGGTCTCGGGAGTGATAATTGTTCTACGCGGTGATTAGCCTTTATGCTTGCGGCTCAAAAGGCGATTAGAACGGTAGACTACCGACGAACATCTTCTGGATCAACGGCGGCGCCGGGACCAGGTCCAGCAATTTCAGGTAGAAGATATGCTGTAGCCCCTGCACCGAAAGACTCCTAAGTTCCGGTAGTTTTCCCAACAGCCGAGACAGATAGTGCGCTTTTTTCTGCGCCTCGGAATTGTAGGTGACGTGATCACGAAGGGATGAGATGATTTTCATTTGTAGTTGCTCCATACGGTGAGGCTCCTTCAGGCCGTACCTTTCTGTAATTTCAAACAGAAGGACGCGTTTCCATCAGTTACCAATCTAATAGGTCAGTTATTCGGAAGATTGTTTCTTTTTTTATACTTAAGTTTTTAATAATTCAAGTCTTTGTCTTCTACCGATGGAGGATGTGTGTGTGCGTGTGTACGTGATCAAATTTACAGCCAAATCTGTTTCCTACAAGCCTCGGATGATCGATATTGCGTGCGATCTACGGCCGAAAACGCGCACGCACATGTGCAACACGCGCGCTGAAAATCACAGAGACGTATCGCGTGCAGCCGACGAACGATCGCGGTTTCGTTCGTCGACGCATTAATACCTAACCGACCGATGGGTAAATAATTTGTCTCGAAGTCGGCCGCGCGTAATGAAGAATCCGTTCGACCAGGGGACGAAACGGAAATAGATCGACTAGAGAATATTGTTTGTATTATGCATGAAATTGTGATTTACATATACATATGCGAGTATGAAAGGGGACGATGCAGATACTGATGTCAGAATTCTTCGCGATCTATTATACTGGAAATATAAATGAAAATTAAGAGAGCAGAAATGTCATGATAATTTTATATTCGACTGAGAAGTAGACTGATTAGGAGACATGCAAATTCGTCGTTTTATTGAAAACTTACCAGTAACCAGGGTGAGAGCACACAGACAGGCGAAAGCGCTAGTGTCTACGTCGAGAACATGAAGAGCCTTGGAGAACTCGAGTATGCTGTGAAGCCAATCGTCGAAGATACGCTGGCACTGTTCGATCGCAAGGACTACACCATTGCAAAATGTCAGCTGGGTGGGTTCCGGTTCCGTACGGTGCGCCAACCGTAGGACGAAGAGTTCCAGACACGCTGATTGGAAAAGTAACTCCTACGAGAAACAAAGAAAAAGAAGAACCTGTTAATTCTCACGTCTATAAACTCAACGATCACCGATAATCCTGCTATGAAACTCTCTGAAAGACTCTGCCCAAACGGAAAACGTTATTCTCACCAGCGGATAGAGGCTACTGTTAGACAACTGGCCAATCAGACCGTCGATTAAACATGTCGTAAGCTTCACAGGACTGACCTTTTATAAAATGTACAAGCTATCGATCTCTGTAACAAAAGCTCTATCCACAGATAATGTCCGCCGGTCGATACGTAATAAGTACACATATGTATAACGTGATTAACATCTACTCGTATTCCGACACAAGTAAATTATTTAACGCGTTCGGTGTTTAATTAAATTTGCGGACAGACAATATGCATTGGCTGTATCAATACACGAACCTGATCCTCCCGCAAGAGATCCGTAAAACCGGGAATCTTGTCGGCGAAGTTCCGTATCACGTCGATGGACGGGGTGAGAAGATTGTAAAATTGTTGCGTCTTTTCCGCGTCGTCGATCGGTGGATCGTCCGGGCTGAGTATCCGGTACTGCGAGTAATCCAAGCTAGAAGGCATGGTGTCCGAATGTGCGCGCAACAAAGCCTTTATCAGAGACACTGGCGAGCTGGGGGGTGATTCCTGCGGTGATTTCGGCTTCGAGGGTAGCCTACCCCTACGTCCCTTTAGAGAGTCCGTCCTGACGACCTGAAGAACAGAAAACCATTCAGGTGAACAGTCTTCTATCTCTGAATCGGTTGATCGATTAAAAGCTTCGATTTCTACATAGTTAGAAGTAACTCCGCTTGTTGGATTCTTCACAGTGTACACAAAAGTAAAGTTAGTGTTCCACTGTAATTCTCATTATCAGGAATTTTCGACGGGTCAATGGAAGTGGTGATTAAGAGGTAGAAAGTCTGTCACTCACCTCCTTCACCATGCCGACCTTCAGGCACTTTTGGTAGCGACAAAACTGGCAACGGTTCCGCCGACGTTTGTCCACGGGACACGCCTTCTCGGCGAGACAGACGTACTTCGAGCCCTTCTGCACGGTCCTCTTGAAGAAGCCCTTGCACCCTTCGCAGGTGCGCACCCCGTAGTGCTGACACGCCGCCGTGTCACCGCAAACCGCGCATAATTGACTTGGACTCGGAGGCGCTCTCTCGTTGCTGGTTCCGCTTCCGCTTCCGGGGGAGAGGGAGCTCACGGAACTTCCGGAACCACCGCTTCCGCCCCGCGCTTTCGGGGAGTCTGTGCCGCCACTACTGTTAACGAAACAACCAGTTATTCGATTATGGAAATATTAAAACAGATGCAGTAGTTTGTGAATAACATTCAACATACTTCTAGAAACATTTTATATTTTATGGTAATCTTATTGAAACATGAGTTTATCGCTTCTGCAGATGCAAGACACAGATTTTAATTTTTAACCTTTAAATTTTTATGTCTCAAGGGTTACTAACGATTATCGAAACAAAAAGGAAGGCACGAACACACGGAAAAAGTGGTGAGAATTACAGGAAAATAAATTGCGAAACATCATCCTGCCGTATCATCGAATAAATAATACGAATACGGAAATAAAATCCATAGTTGACGTAAAGAGTGACTAGTTGATACAATTAAACTCATCATCGGTAAGTGACACACGCAAAAAGATTATAGTCACAGTAACACAATTGCGTGCACCTTGAATGATTATGATTCTTCGATGTACTGTTCAATTTAATCGTAGTTAATTGTGTACATTTAAATATTGTAATTCACTAATCTTAATACTCGCTACGAGGAAAAAACCGACGGAAAACGTCACGAAAGCACGAGACACCGATCAAAGGTAATATCTTAATCCCCATTGTTTTGTTCCATGAAAATTATGAATGTAGCGGTGTATAGATCTAGCTATAGAGTACAATGCCAATTACTAAAGCAGTTTATACGCATTGCACACTATCCACGGAACTGCGATAAAAAAATAATCGCCAAATTTTGCATTATTACCTCGTGGAATCTAACCTCTGCGTAGGTAGGGATGCTCTCCGTGCTCGGGACGTTCCAACGACGACGTTGTCGACATTAGGGCAAAGTTCTGTGGGCGCGACAGGGGTTGCACCGCCGGTGATGGCTGGTGGCGGTCCATACACCATGGGCACACTGACCGCCGCACCGTACGGAGAATCCTGTCGATGGTTCGACGGGGAGGGGACAGCCGTTGTCGGTGTGGGGGCCGTTTCAGTGGCGAAGTAACCTTGATGATGATGATGGTGTTGCTGTTGGGGAGGCGGTTGCTGCTGCGGTTGATGGGGATGATGGTGATGATGATGGTGCTGTTGCTGTTGCGGCTGTTGCTGGTGATCGTGGTAGGGCATCGACGGCGAGAACTCGGTGGGATAGTGGCCGGTCGCACAGGGATAGACCGCGTTGTCGTAACACTCCTCGTCCATTTTTATGCCGAGAACTTGGAGTTCTTGTCTGGTGTACCGTGGAGCCGTGTACGTCTCTTGGAAGCTCGGCAATGGTGTTGAGCTGCGTCAGACAGATCAAGAAGTCAGTTGTTTTGTCCTCCCCGAATTCTCTGAACTGTCCTTCTTCTGCTCTTGCACCTCGACAGTATTCTATATTCATCTGTCTTATAGTTAGTTTACACGTCTGAACTCTAGGTTTTGATTAGAAAATTGCTGAATCTGTTCGATATTACCAAATAGTGCACGTCTTTTGTTTTCCTTTTTCTGTCTTTCATCGTAATTATGTTTTGTAATATTAGTATGATTATACAGTAGAGCGGTACCTAAGCGAATCTGCCTGAACATCTTCAGGAAGAGGCGCCGCCGACGGAGGTGGCTGCGGTGGTTGCTGGTGGTGCACCGCCGGCTGGGCCGATTCGTCTGCCGTGGGTACTACTTGAGGATTGCCTAGCTGCAGCTCCGGGAACGGGTCCAGCTCTTCCGGCAGGCTTCCCGCATCTGCAGGATCCGTGTATGACGCGCTCAACAAATCCGCCAAAGTGCTACATCCGAAAGGACTCTGGAAGCAAACGTTCCGTACTCTGGTCAGACAATGTTTCGCAACGAGAACGAGTCGAATATAATGGCACACGTTTGGATATTAACAATTCTGTGTGTCACTTCGGGAACTGGATCCAAAGAAGCAATCGAAGAAGATTCACATTCGTATCAAGAAGCATCCAAATTTTTTAAATAGGTTGATGTATTTTTAGATTATCTCTAACAGTGAAATCCACTAGAGAGTAACAATGAGAACCTTTACAATAGAATACAGTGAAGTATATTAGATGGTCACAGACAAGGAAACAACTATTCGCACTTTTTCAAATTTGCCTTTCGACGTCGGACAGCCCGGGCTGAGCCGTGCGAGCGGCAAATCGAAGCACTCGACTGCAAGGCGGTAACATTGCCCGACCACAATTGCAGTCTATGTCGAGACGTCGATGTACAGTTGAGGTGCGCAGTGAGGATATCGGGGAGGATTGGCGAACCGAGGTTCGCGTGTTGTCTATAACTCATTGCCTAGACAGCCTCATAGAAATCTTTCTACGTACAGGCGTCGAACGAATTCTCAAATCCCCTCTAATACGCGGTCGATACATTGGTTGGTTGTCCCTGAACACAGTCGTTCCATAGCGATTCTATTATCCCGACGCTGAGCGAACACCGGCATCGATATCTCATACAACGTTCCTCCTCGCGACGCACCATCTCATCAATTGTTATAAATAATCCTGGTCGATCAGCCCGAACTATGAATATCCAACAAACATTTCAAAATCAGGATCCAGGTGCAGTTCAACGCGAGATAATGCGATTGGGGGGATCAATGTCAGTAAAAGAGGACATCGAATCTCGTACGATTCCGAAAAATAAACCTGACGATTACCAGGAAAAATATAAAGAAGCAAGAAAGCATTTTTAGAGACAGAAGAACCGAAAGGGGGATACCAGAAAAGAGGAAAGAAGGATGGGGCGGGATATTCAATTTACCAGGTTGGTTCCGCTGTTGGGCTGACATTTCGTTTATCGCTCCCTCGAGAACCAACGATCGAAGCTTCAGCCTTCCGTGGCCCTACGGTCTCTAAACGGCCTCTAAAAGCGTCACCCCTTCCCACCATCCACCCCCACTGACGAGCTTCCTCTAAGCCTAAGCAATTACGACACCATACAGCGTCACCCGCTGGCAAGGACCGCTAATTACGCTAACCAACGAGACTATTTAATTACCCGTGACAATCCCGGCGATTCGAGAGAAAAAGATCGATAAGCGAATGCAGATGACGATCAAGAACGCCGGGACGTAGGAGGGCAGATCTTGTTACAGGTCGGGCCTAGACTCGCGGGGTTCGACGAAGTGTCGGATAAGATACTGAAATAGTGAAAGTATCGCGCGCCTCTAAATACAGGATTCGATAATTACTGGCCTGACTTCGCTAGACGGTGCAAATTCCACGGAGCTAACGGGCGGTTCGTTCAGGGGGTATAGTCGGTTTTAAGTGAAGAAAACGTTCGGAGAACAAGTCAAAAATTAAATTAACTATAATCACAGCAGTAGAATGAGAAGAAACAGACAATGCATGTAAATGTAGAATAGGGCAAGAGAGACGAAGGGTAGAGTATCTAAAGAAGGTGACCTGAGGAAACCTGAGTAATAGTTCTTTCTCTCCTGAGAGTAACAACTTCCCGTCATGGATCAATTGAAAATAGGGTGTTGCAAAAGGATCAATGTGGTCAGCGATTCCATGTACAGGATTCTAAACAGAAGACGAGGGACAATTCGATAGAAACAGGGAAGTCGGGGGATTAACTGACCTGTGTCTGCAAAAGAAGCATACTTGACGCTACCGTGAAGGCGGTGGTTGTGGTGGTCGTCGAAGAGTGATTCGTGCAGGCGAGAACTGGAACAGTAGCTGCTGGGGGCCGCTGGTGCCGTTGGCGGTGCGGCTGTTGCTGCTGTTCTACGTCGTTTCTTGTAACAGCCACTGCACGCTGGCTACCGTTGCTGTTATCGCTGTCGCCGTTCGGCGAATGCAACTGCCCTGTAACAGAATCGTACACCCTCTAGCAACATCTCCTCTCCTGTCTATTCCAATTCTCGTAAGATTCTTAGAACTAACACTTTCAATCTCTCATACACCAAGAAGCTTCAGGCACTATTAGTTGCCACTACTTTCAATTCGAATAGAAGGTTGATAGGATTGCTGAATAATGAACTCTTCATTCCAATATTCGAACTAGCTACCATGGGATTGATTAGACAGAGCGAATGGTGTCATCAGCAACGTACACCGTTTATCAGGGACACTGTTCCAGGCTGTCTGCAAAGTTGCCGTCACAACGAAAGACGTTCATTGTTCCCGATGGAACAACACGATTCACGTTTTAGAATGGAAACTTTCTGATGCGTGCCAGACTGCACTGAATTGTGTTTCTATAGCCTGTGTCTATATTTTCCTAACGCGAAAAGGACATTCCTTTTTTTCTTCTGCGACAAGAACGAATCGGTTTCACGAGTTACGTACAGTATCTACGGTATTGCGAATGGCCGGTGTCCATGGTGATCATGTCTGCTACCGATTGAAATTTCGAATAAGATCGTCTGAGTAAAGGAACGTGTCACTCGAATCAGCTTCTGCGAGATACGATCAAATTTGGACCACCAGGCCAAGACTGGCCTGGCAGCCGATGGTATTCGGAAACCACTTTCACTGGCTCGAATTCCACTCTCGACTGATGATACTCGTACCGTTCCTGTGTAACACTAGTCGAGGATCGACTTATTGGTCGTCGAATCCTGGTCGTCGACTGAGGTCCTAGACGTCGGCGTTTCATCCTATATAGGGGTGACTCTGACACCCCGGGGAGACATGAAATCATTGGCATTTAAAATACTAGCCCGTCCTATACAGACAGCCGTCGTACCCCCTCGATTATTATTACGCGATATTATCCCTAACGCCCGGGGGATGACTATGCTGCCGTCAACAAGGACGATGTTTGCTTCGTTTTACTGAAGTGTGCGGATTAATAGACTGAGACTGAAAAAGACGATCGGCAATACTATTATATTATACGTCTATGGGCAATTACGAACAATTTTATATTAAATCTTCTACATCCTTTTTGTACATAAGTTCAGTAGTTACAGTTTCAGTACGAGTCGGCGTACTTTCAATCAAAATGACTTCCCCATTTCAGTTGCTCTTTATTTTATTGTTCATTCAAATTAAAATGCTCACGACCAGCAAGATGAATATACTAAGATACAGCAAAGTGTAATCGAAAGGTGACGGTAATACGGTAATACAATACAGGTGAACAGATGTCCCTATCTCTGGGGTCTCTCAACCCTTACCGTACAAGAAGATCGAAATCGCAGATAGTTACGGTCACCCGACTTGCAGGTTCGATTTAATTTCAAAACAGCGAACATAATCGGACCACCCAGTGATTTTCACGCCGTAAAACGTACGATCCAGCCGTTCCACACTTATTGTTAGACAATATCGGATTAATCTGGCAAGGGAGGGGGGTGCAAGGGGTGCAACGCGATTAGACACAATGGTCGTACCCCGTCACGGTGAATTAAAATCGCGACAACGAGGGGAAGATCATCGCCTCCCCCTGATACAACGAATCCACGCAAAACTCGAGATTCCCATAAATCCTGTAACTAATGCGGAAAACGATCTCGCTAGGCCAATGATCGTCCAGGACGAAAAGTCATGAATGCATCTCGGGGCCCACTCTCTCCCACCTCTAACCTTTCGTTTTTTCTCCCCGTCGAGTAACCTGTCGGCGCGCCGGTAAGGTGGTCGCAGCCAATTTCCACGGAGGTGAGCCAGGGGCCGAGTGTGGTACCCGATCCCACCTACGGGAGCGCATACTAGAGGAACGAGAGTTTGCCTTGCACCTGAGCGGGCTCGTGCACGTGCACGGAAGGACTCGATTAACTTCTACTACACAACACGCTAGCCGCCGCGCCGTCACGGTACACCGTAGGCAGGGTAAAGGTAGAGAGGTGGCCTGGGTAGGGTAGCGAACGGGGGCAGAGAAAGAGTAGGGTTAGCCGAACAGCCCGTGTGCCAAGTGGATTACACCGGTATACACGGCCCTCCCACGAACCACGCCTCTCCACGTGCCACCACGTGCAGAGCCACGCCGCGCAAAACCACCGCCGCTTCCCTCGTCGATTTGCTCTCGTGAATTAACCACTCTTTTTCCCTTTCTCCTCGTACCTTCCTCCGTCTGCCTTGCTTGGTGCCCCCGAGCGTAACAGGACGCTCTCTAGAATCGAGGTAACGGGGCGAGTTTGAGTTCTTTCGAGCATAGTTCGATCAGTGGCTCGTGGATAGATGCGTTTCAACGGTTTTTGACGAAGGTACAGACGAGGTGTACACGATGTGTTCTTGGATTCATTCATTGAAGCTTGGCGTGCGGGTATCGTCGTGGTTCAATGAAACAGTTGTAAATAGCAATAACGAGAAATTCCTGAAATGCTTCAAATATTAGCGCCGCCTGTGGGTTACCTATATCGAGAGTGCGAGACTGATTTTCAATAAGTGAACTATAGGGAAATTCTTTGCAATTGGAGTGTTTACTCCTTCCTTTTTATTTCCTTTGAAATTCATTTGTGTGAAACGTGTAAAGCAGAAACTAATTGTACTCGAAGTAAAGATGACACTAGCCTTGTACAAACTCTGCCTTCCTTTTGCTTTCTTCTCGTTCTCCTTTTACCTCTTCACATCCATCTATCCCGAACGTACGCCGATTGTCACCATATTCAGGCCAACGACGACATCAGCGAGTATTCTAAAAGCAATCACTAGAATCCCCGTGTCTCGTGACATCACGCGAGTTCAGGAGACAACGACAGAAACGCGGTTTCCACTTTTACATCGAGGCGCGAAGGTGACGCGCCACCGAAGAAAAGTCCTGTCTATAAATAAACGGTTTCCATGCCGTCGGTTTTTCTCGTAAAAACGATCCCGACTGTAAAGAAACTCGCCGATAGGATGAATTATTCATAAGGGATATCAATTATCGCGACGATGCATGAAAACGTCGCGGTTGGGAGAAAACATGCCGGTATGATCGTTGCAATTAGTGGATAATTTATAGGAATTTCCATGCCTAATTGTGGAGAACACGATCGGTAAAGGGTGCCTCCCTGGTTTGACGTCACCGACGTTGATTACAATAGAATCGCCGAATGTAGGTCGTCAATGTCGGTAAGAATCCCGCGAATCATTTTGTGACGTCGACGAGCGTGCAACACTTCACGACAAACGGTCTTGCCACGGAGAACTTCAGACTTCTTCTGGCGAATATACACGTTGGATAATATTCATCGTGTTCCTCGAGTGACTGACGAGCCGAATTGGAGATTAGATGCAGATACTTTCACGCGATAGTGACGGGTCGAACAAGTCTCTATCGCAACACTCGAATTCACGGAATACCTGCGTTCGATTGCGCAATCTGCCAGAGAATCCTCGTGTTTACGCGACGACCCACAACAATACGCATTTCTCCGACTGCAACGCGGATGTTCACACCTAGGTGCGGTCTGTCAATAATTCCTATGACAGCTTCTTTAATATTCTTCACGTCCGAATTTCAGTTAACACGTTTCGTGATCATTTTCGCTACGTGGGCCTTTGATGATCCATCGAGGAAAGATACTGCAAACGTTTATCGAGTGCAACATATGATCAATTCTCTCGAGAATTTACTGGACCATTTATTATTACCTGTAATAACGACCTAATAGAAGACACTGCCGACCAAAAGTGTGGGACCAGAGATTATGACATAATAATAGAATGATATTTTTCCTTAATTGTTACACCTGGTCCCCTACACATGCAGGCACACCTCACCTAGCAACATTAGGCACTGTAATGGTGGGTGCGCGCGTGCGTGCACGAGAGAAAGTAGGACCTGATCGTGTCCCGGAGTCATACGACACATAATCGCGCACTGAGATATCTTCGATTCAAGCTCGCCTCGGTTCGCCCACACAAGCCAGACGTCTCTCCAGCTGGACGCTCGTAATTAACCCTTTCACTGCTAAGTAGAAGCAGTCCCGTGCCGACTCATCCTCGGCTTTCCGTTTGAATCCGAATTTTTTGGACTAGTTCTACCTTGGGACCAGCTCGCTTCAGATCCTGCAATTGGTACCATCTTCGTGGTATCGAGTTCTCAGATTGAAGTGGATGTTTCTGTAGATGAATCTGTAAAATTCCTTTTTCAGACTTGGAATTTTGATGAATATCTCGTTTTTTTGTAATTCGACTGAGAAGAAAGACATTAATGGAAACCCGTTAGGAGGATTTGAACGATTCCGGTAGTGATTGTCGATTAGTTAATCATCGTGGACCTTTGATATCCTGTAGCACATTACGTCACATGATTTTCCCCGCAATCTGGAAAGCCAAGTGAATCATGGGATCGATGATCTTTGATTCGTACATAAATTAACCTGAAAGTTTCCAGGTAGCAATCTAAAATTGGTCCGACGTATGTACACGCTGCACACAGCTTTCTCCCTCGTTAAATCCCCGGCGAAAGATTGATGACATCCTAATTAGAGATTCGGCAACCGGTACACTCTTGTATCATCCTCGTATCACCATTCCAATAATCGTTTATCATCACCCCATCGTTTACTTTCGGGGGCCATTGGGTGATTCTTAAGTATCTACGCGACATCACAATTTATCACACTGATACTTCCACGAACATCGATCTCAAGATATCCCCCAAAAGATTTCCAAAAGAAAGGAAAAGTCTCCTGAAATTCGAATCGAAAGACGAATCCCCGGGTCGCAGGGAGAGCCAAAGCAGCTCGAACCGCAAGAAGACGAGGAGGAATCAAGGATTTGTGAAAGTGGCAACCGGGACCAGGAAAGCCGGCTGAAACAAATTGTCCAGATACCCTGGAAAGATTAGATACGTTCCCGGTGGATTGACCTCTCTCGATAAAAGATTCCCCCGGCGCAGCAACAAGAATACAAAAGCCCCGGCCTTAAGACTC